CCGGAGAAAAAGGAAAGCCAAAGACAAAAGCCGTAAATTTGTGGGATTTTGGAAGTGCACGTGCAGGGATCCGCAAGTGATGCAGTCAGCCTAACGTTACCAGTTGTCGTTAATCACACCGATTCTCCGCGTCCTGGGTTGTTTCGGCTCACCTCCCCGCGACCTGCCCCGGCCGTGGAGCGCTATGACGGGCTCCAAGGCCCGGGGAACACGTCCTGTCCGTTCGGCTTGGCGGGCTCCGTTATGAAATAATGTTATTAATACGCATAAATTTATATTACCGGAGCCGGCGTGAGTCGTGCCTGACAGCACTTTCTCCTGGCCCCGAGAAAAAGAAAAATGATTTCATTTCAATCATTTTGAGAGCACAACTATTTGGAAAATGTCACTTTTCAGCTGGGCGTGCGCGAATCAGAACACGGGTTTAAAGGTGTCGGAGGGAAATGGGAAGATGATTTTTAGACTAGCTATACTACATGTATCATTAACATCAACCGATCTTGTTCATCTCAAGAAAATCGTCACCGCTCTTTCTTTTAGTCTGCCCCTATTCGCCCTCGCTTGAAATTACTAGAGTAGCAACTGGACTGCTGTAGTCTTTTCCCTTGTACTAGTACATTGTTCTTGTGTTTTGAGTACATAGATTTAGATACTGCAGTAGCGGAGCTAGCGTAATTCGAGGGAACATGCTGACTATCCAGGCGAAAATAATCAAGTACAAAAATAATACCTGCACTGAGAATCAGTTCACCGAGAGACACTAATTTTTTTTCAAATCTATAAGCAATAGGCTAAACGGAATAATTCATCACGAGTGATGCTACACAGTTTAGGATTGCCCAGGTTGCTATAGGAGAGACCGGCTAGGATGGGATTTCGACACAATGCTTTAATTGTGCACATCATGTGAATCCAAGCAGTGTGGTAGGATGAAACACTACATACGCGGACGTTATTCTTGCTCGTGGTTTCACCATACTGGCCGTCGTGGGCCGAGTCGCATACCGTATTTATTGGACGACTACAACGTCTTATTTTCTGATTCAGAATTACCTACGGCTTTGCCTTTAAGTCCTTGAGGGTCTCTCTTCACGAAACGAACAGTTAGCCTTCTCAAGGCCTACACACAACGCAGCGAAGGCAAGAAATCTCAACCACGGCGAAGACTACTTACTGCTGACATAATGCCAGGAATGTGTCTTTGCAGTTAGCTCCGGTACCACAGAAAATGAAGAGTTTCCTCCAGCACCTATCGTCCGTCACATTACCCCTGTCCTGTGTCCAACCTCGGAGGTGGTCCTAACAAGGCGATCCAGCACAGGTTGCAATGGAAGAGCAACAGTCACTATGAGTTTCCAGTTTATTTTGCTCCTGGAAAATGGTGCTTTTGTGGATTGAAAATTTGAACATTTGACCATTAAGTTATGTATTATAACTGTTTCCCACTGGCGGTAAACACGTGCCCTGCCCGTCGTCAACTGTACCTCTAGACAGATTTCTTCTTTTTTGATGAAAGGGACGCTTGGAACAGGTCGGTAATAACCAGATTATAGGGCATGACAATCCCTCCCAATTTAAAAAAAAAAAATCGCCATCGCTGCCATTCGTCAGAAACACCTTTGAGGTGATCTATGTGACTATTTTTCCATGATGTAACACAGGACTTCAACTCTTAGCCAACCTTATCATGCAAGTTCAAACCCTGAAATGACCTGTGAAAGCAAGGGAACAGGTCAGTGTCAATTTCAGGGTGACAGAGTGATAGAGGTGACTTCTTTTTTTTGGCAACTATCACGGGCCAGCCCTGGAGATTTATTCGACTGGAAAAAAGGATATTATTTCCCCCCTCGATAATCCTCATGAGAAAGCATACTGTAAACGTGGCCTTACACTACATGAGTTCGTCGATATGAACGTTTCAGTGCGAACAAAATAGTTACCAGCTGGATGGCGTTTTGTAAATTAGCTACGGCCTCCAAGCCCCTTTAACACTTCGCGGGGAACTTATCCAACTATTCCAGCTAGTTGGGCGGTCACACCGGTCGTTTGTCCAAAACACAAACAAACACGAAAAGAATTAACTGGCAACCATAAATCATGTTAATGCCCGCTGCCCTCAGCTCGCCCTCGCACGTAGAAATCTCGGCTTCGACAACCAAAACAGTCGTCAAATAGTACGTTTACTGGGCATTTTCCCCCCTTTTCTTGCCTCCCAGGTGCAGCGTGCGCTGGCCCATCAAGATTTTCTCGGTGCTTCTGATTGATGATGGCCCGGTGTGGGAGTAGTGACGGCGCAACGGTCATAAATAACGTCACGCTAATTGCAGGGGGCGTCTTAGACTTGCGTGTTCATCTATCAACTCGCTTCATGCAGCCCATAGCAGCCGAGCCCCAAAGCGATGACGTCACATTACTGGAAAGGACTCGCCAAATGAGGTCGCTCCCCCTACAAAATGGTGCCAGTTTCGTTCACGTGGGGCAGTGTTCACAATGAGTCTGCAGCACTTAACGGCTACGTCTGGATGTGCGCACGTATTTTCAACCAGCGAAGACCCAGACCTAGCTGTAGACGAAAGATTTATATGAGGCCTCGTTTAAGTTTATGACCGCTTGCACCACAGAGTCGAACTACGGAAGCGTATATAGGCCATGAATGAAAAAAAAGGCCAACTATTTCGCCCGGTCGGATTAGCATTTCGCCGGAGCGGATTTATACTATTTCGCCCGGGCTGGTGCGTTATTTCGCCTAGGCGAACACCCATGCAGCGCTACATTTAAAATCCAGCACAGTTACGGTTAGGTAGACGGAAAAGGAGGCCACGCCGTAGAACGACGTGCGTCATGTGCATATTAATTATGCTCGGGATGCATAAAATACGTACTGTAGGCCTACACTTTCTGTTGGCCCATCTGAACATGGATGATGAAAAAAAATTTCAAATTCAGATATTTCGCGGACAAGCAAAAAGCGGAGCCTTTTACTCAAAAACGAATGACTGCAGAGTCTGTCGGATGTCACGCGTGCGCCTTGCGTTCGATCGACGGCTTCGACTCTCTTTTTGTCAATGACGAGGGGTACTCTCGCACGTTTCCCGCGGCGCAGTGCACGTTTCCCGCGCAGCACTAACAGCGGATACTGGGTGAAAAACCCGAGTACGTGTAGTAGGTATGATATCAGACAAGGTCGAATGGGTGGGGGTCAAGCGAGGGTCATGCCCCCCCCAAGAAAAGAGCCAAAATTTATTCTGAAATAAACGTGAGAAAGGCAAATCGTTGGTCTATTCCCCATCCCGAGAATAAACAGCCCCAACATTGCCTCACCCCTCAGAAACGCCATGCAAAGTTAAATGAAATACTTCCAATTTCCCTACGGAAATAATTGCCCCCCCCCTCAAATTCTGAAATTAATCCTGACGTATTTTTAAACATTTTTCTTTCTTTTTTCCTATCCCCACCTTCCTTCGCGACGCCCACGCATCGGTGAACTTGAGTTTGATAAATGAACGTGTACGTGACCCGTTGGGGACGGGTTCCACTTCGGCACACTTGAAAAATCACACGTCAACTCCAGACAATGCCAACATCCAACACCTTCGGATCACGGCAATCCCAATGGCAACTTCTCCTGATGCAGCGTGACAAGGGTTGTTGCACTTGTGCCAGCATCGTAACATGGGTTGATCGAAGTCCAAATGAAAAAGTTGGCGAGGAGGAAAGATTTTCGTTGGCATTTTCTCACTGAAAATGACAATACATTCAATTAAACCACTCGTGTAATGTCATCCGATTCAGAAAGGTGTCGATTATAATGTAAAGTGTGCAGTTGAAGAATGTGTAATTGATGCACACTTGTGTGTACATTCTTACGGTTAACGGTATAATATGGAAACACAAATCCTGACGGATCAAAATTGACTCGATAGGCACAGCAATCGCAGCTACAACGTCAAACACGATGAAAAATGCTCTTCAGTATAGTACAATATTTAAGACGTTGTACAGGCTAACATTCCCTCGGGGATTTGTCGATTTACCTCTCCAATATTTTCTGTTTAATGTTTAGGGGCGAGAACTTAATTTCATTTAAAGTGAAAGCCGTCTTTCATTTTGTATTGTTTATTTTATACATGCCGTAATCGGATGGAGTGGACGTCAGATAAACCTCGACACTGGCAATCCTATCTACGACGTCATTCTTGTAACATGGACGAAGAGTTCTAAGCCGCCCCTGGAGGTGGGGTGGTAGGTCCATCCTCTAGTGTTGGATGATGAGGCACCAATACGGGCGATTCACAGTAGTGCACCTCCAAGACTTTGCAACGCGTTGACCAATCACAGTGCGCGAAAACTGCGCGTTTCAAAAAAAATAATGATTTTCTACGGTGGCCGAGGGATTTCGATGAGTACGGTAAGCATGATATTCCCACCATGAAAATCACATTGAACCAAGTTTCAAAAATCTAGTTGTACCCTATTGGTGAAAGCTGTAGTGCTGCTTTGATTGATGCCAGTTTTGAGGTTCACATTTTCACGCTTCAGTGAGCACAGGGAGTTTGAATCTTGGAAAATCTTTGCGCATGGGTGTATAAGGATTAAAAACTCATCAAGAAATGTAATGCGAGGTTAACCCCTTTCTGCTTGGGAATGATACACCCAGAAATGAGATTATTTTGGTGCCGATTGTAGGGAGTTAATCAGTTTTTCCCCAAATTTTATGTGTGGAAGTAAAACTCCCTTTCAAACTTTTATTCAATCCTACAGATCTCATTTTAACCCTCGCACACCCGTGCGCAACAGAAGAATATAATGCAAAACCACAGAGGAGCATAACTTGAAATTCCGCCGAGTAAAGACAGCACCGACAAGACAGTTGATACAATCGGAGCGAGTTCATCCAACGGGGCGCGTTCTTCTTTCCGATACACGTGCAAGAGTTTACATCAGGAACGGTGATAAACCCCATTATAAAATGGACACACAATGCTACAGGTGTTGACCTTGGTCTTTTTAATGCTCCAGGACTTTGCAGGAGCTGCATCTTCATGACGTTTATTGCATTATTGTGAGGATCTCAAAAAAGATTAAATAAAATGAGCACTGTAGCTACAAATGTCATTTACAGATGCGAAAATGCCACAAAAAAGACACTGTAGACTTGAAAAATTCTGAAACTCTTGAGAGAAATATTGACTCTGCAACTGTTTGGCAGTTTGAATGAAACTTATCAATTGCATTTGTCGCCAATGATGACATTTAGAGATTCTAAAATGTCAGCCAAACACACACTGTTGATCTGACTTATTTTAGAACCTTGGTACAGTACACAGGAACCGAAGTCAGATGTGGAAATATTAATATCAGTTATCAATGTTACGTTGTACATGTGTGTCGAACTATAATCACCCCGACAGATATGTTTGTTAAAGTGCCTCAGTAAATCCCCGGCAGCTGATTGGTGGATCGTCGATCACGTGTCATTGACTTATTTGTTATATGCAACGTTGAGAGAGCTACAGGTATACCCTTAAACTACGCAAGCGCTACCGGCTCGGTCGTGACTTTTTACATAAAAAGCCAAGTCAAGGCTCCGCAGAACGTGAAAACTGCGTGTCGTGCCGTCAAGCCAAGTCGGAAAAGATAACATAGTAACTTTTACACATTTTAGATGTTATATAAGACACAATGAATGTTTCATATTCATGCAGTGGAAATAATAATTTCGGGGAAGAGAACATTCAATCTATCACCCCGTGAAATAATTATTACTGCATGCACTCAAACATTCATTATTTACAAAATATTTAAACCCCCCTCCAAACTAACTAAAGGTATTCGAAGTAAATAAACATGATTCGCATAATGAAATGCCATCCTAAAACATAATTGACTTTCTGCAACATTTCGATGAATTTTTGATGAGAGAAAGTAAAGATTACTTCGATGAAAACCACTGTTTAATTGAGATGTGATTTGCACAAACAAATTGAATGACTTTTCTGGTCGCGAAATTGATTTGCAGAAAGGTCCCATTTTCGTGCTCCATGATTTTTATGTGAGAAACTAACAAGGAAATACAACTGCATCCACACTCTTTCAACTGCTTACTCAAAACTTGTGTCTGTGTTTAATGCCGAACCAAGAGAGTATTTTGTAAATCAACAGAAGGCCGATTTTACCGTCCTCACTTGGTTCGTGGTGTCTCCTAACGTAGCTTATGTTCTGGTTCAACACAGCGATCAGTACATTGAGCAGGAGGTAGGTGGCCACGGCCTGAAAGACGATGATCAAGATCGAAGCCGTGACTCCGTTGACTGCAAAGAGCTCCTCGTATCTATATTCCCCGAGGAAAAGCACAAAAAGCGACTCCAGGGCCAAGACGATGCTGCTGTAGGTGAACAGGTGCCTGCCGAAGATGAGCTGGAAGAGCAAAGCAAAGGCGCACATGAACAGGACGATGTAGCCGGCAAAGGCCCCGACGTCGATGGCCGAGGCGCTCAGCACAGACGTCAGCAGGTGGGCCCTGGGATTCAACCTGAGCAGGTGGAGGAATTTGACGGGGCACAGGATCAGCAGCAGACCCAAGAGGTACTGAAAGGCTTCCGAGACGGCGGCAGCAGCTCGGAAGTCGACGAACTCCCCAGGTCGCGCCCGGAAGACCTCCAAAAGCCTCTCGGTGGACACGTGACGATAGATGTAGATTGCGATGACGGCCATGCAGGTGAGAACGATGGCAACCTCCAACCAGTTCCAGCCATCATGCCAATAGCTTCCGCGTTGCTGATGTATCTTCCGCACCTCAGTAAATGCATAGAAGGCTGCATACAGCGAGAACAATATCTCAATGCACAAGACGAAGAGCTGGAACTGAGCAGTGTTCCTGTACAACCGAACGGCCTGGATGTGAGATGTCTTGACAAAGCCGCCGCTAGCTGTGATTTCGTTGAGAAACGTCACCACCACGAACAGGTTGGTGTTGGCACTGTAGACCGTCCACTCCACCACCAGAACTTTGGAGTGTTCATCCAGCCAGCGCTTGGCCATCAAATCCTTCAGTGATCGACGGGCTTCCGTCTGGTTCACACCCAGGTTGGCCACGTAGCCGCCACCGGGGTAAGATGCCACCCGTCCCCAAAGGCCAACTGCCACATTTTGCTGGTGCGTCCAGATATCCTGTCGCCGAAGGCTGGTCCCATTCGCTGAAAGGTGGCTCAGGGGAGCACTCCATGAGTTGTTGTAAAGGCCGGTATCTTCAGTGTCTTTGGAGTACGACAGCGTGCATCTGTCAATTATGCCTCTGACGGACCTGTTTATGTGGCAGAGCTCTGAAAGGAAATGAACAAGCACCGGTAGATTAAAAAAAAAATTAGCAACGCATGGGCTGGACCTCAAGACGACTTCAAGAGGTCGCAATGCTTATACCAGGAGGCAAGACACTTTGTCGCGATACTTTACCTTTGGCTGGTGGGTTCAACTCTTTAAGTTGGAACTCGTATCCTAACTGCTTATGTAAGCGTGTGGATGCACCTGTGATCATGCACCGGTTACGTGCAATTTTCAGCTAATCCACATAGGATTGTTGCATGTACGGAAGATTACAACGTACAAGCAAAGGGATTCTGCGGTATTATTTTCAGCTCTAGAAACACCTGCAAAACAGATTCCTGGGTTGTGGATGTATGGTTGAAGTCAGAATTAACAGGTGGTTACCTGGACGGACCCTGAGCTGCCGAAGACGAACCCCGCTGATGAGAAACAGTGTTTGGTCATCGCCTTGGTAGAGGCCCCGGAGAAGAGTAAGGTCTGCCCACTCAAAGAACCCGTCAAAATCACTTATCTGACATTGAAAGCACGTTTATACCATCGTGAGTTTTTGCCTTCTCTAAGTCCCTGAAATGCGCATTTTTAGCCTTGTGGTTTTTTTTCCAGTCATGGTCAGGGAAGCCGAACAGTTTGAAACATCCTGGTAGTAAACATATAGATATCACTTGAGTGGAATACATGTATTGACGATTCCTAGTTTCCTGGTTAAAAGATTTGTTTAAGATTCAGTCAATAAAATTCGACTCAGGCCGATATGGTTCAAGAATATACTCAATTTTGTTCGAGAATGTGTTTGTTAAACTTGTAAAAAGAAAATATTTGTTGTTCAGTGTAAGATGAGTGTAAGGTGAATTTTCTCCTTTTAAAGAGCTTGTGGGAGAGAAGACAGCATGTAATCGTCACACAAGCTAGGAAGTAAACGCTATAACAAAGCAACTAATATTATAATACCCAAGACAGTTAGCCGTTTCTATTAGTCAAGAGCCAATCACGTGGCTAGTCTTAGGCAACTGATAAAGCGGGGCTGGCTATGCACCACCTTATATGCAGTACACGCCACGCGTGGGCAGATGCCCATAAAGGGAGATTGTTTACGACTGGTCATGAGTGGAACATACAGTACCACAACATGGCTAGCAGGGTGTTTGAAAAAAGGAGAAAATTGCGGGACAAAAATCATCCAAAATTTCCAATTTTTAAACCTGTTTTGACTTCTGACTCAAAAAGTATTTATGAATGAGACTGATGTTTAAGACTGATTCTCTTTTTATGAAACGCACCGAATGGTACTCGTCACTGCTGAAGAAAACGTCCCTGACATGCTTAGTGAGGTAGTAGGAGGAGCGGTCTCGCTGGCTGTACGCCACAATCAGAACCAGCCAGATGAAGAAGAAATAACCCACAATCTCCCGCAGGAGGGCGAACATCTTACGCTCCATCTCCTTACGCCGTCGGCCAGTGTTGACCTCTGCGTTGGTCGGGGGCCGGTAGTGGGTGGCCTTCCATTTGCGCAGGAGCTTCCTGTAAACTTCCGGGGCATTTTCTGGCCAGGGGCATGAGATTGAGGTTCGACACTCAACAGTTTCAGCCTTTTACAGTACAGGCAAAGTTTACGCAGAAACAGAGAAATCATCTGCAACTATGTGCAAGTGTAGTCCAAGCTACTCATTTAAGAGCATTGTTCTGAGAGATCCCTTTAGGTGGCAAGAGGTGTTAACTGAGGTGTTAATTTGTGGCACAGACTTTTAAGGAGCTTTTCTGTCATTTGGTGACTTTCACTTCTTTGAATTGGGCCACACGGAGTTTCTCTTTACCCAAAACTCCATAGCATTGAACACTGACTTGTAAGCACAACACAAAAAGGGATTAAGAAGCCCTCTGCTTCTAATCAGAAGTACAAAAAGGTTGACAAACTGGTACCATCCCCTTTTGCAGTATTCATTAGTTTCTAACGGCCTTCGTTATTATGTTTTCTCTTAATGGTGCTCTTCAAGTTCTCTGTGTTATACAACAATTTGGCAGTAGGTCTTCCAGATACATAAGTATGAGTCCTTGGCAGTTAGCTTGTCCATATCTATTCATCTACAACCAATAGCACCTTCCGTCAAAGATAAAAAATATACCAATCTACAGCAATCAATAAATGCATCTATAAGAGTATTCTCTGAGCGGTCACAAAGACAGAAGCTGGGCCGATATCTGAATACTGACTCACCGATTTCTCTCTCCTCAATATCGTCACTTCCGTCATCATCAGCGTCCCATTGCTTCATAACAAGAGCCACAAAGGCAGCAAACAATAAAACCTTCAGGGGTTGTATGAAGAATACACTCTGAAACAGGGATACCACCAGCGACACCAGCCAATCAATGGAGCGTTTCTTGCCGTACTTGAGCCCGTACAGCATGGTGAAGTAAGACGACACCAGAGTGGTGGAGAACACCAAAAACCAGCCAATGTAGACGAACCAGTGAGGGAGCCCATTAGGGAGGAACTTGAATGAGCACTTACAGAAGGCCGTCTTGGATTGGCTGTCCGTTTCACTGCGGTCAGTCGGCGAGGAGCTTGGAGTCCGAATAGTCATCACTGTGAGTACGAGATCCCGAGCCTCTTGCCTAGCCATCAAGTACTGCTCCGCTGACAAGAAACGCTCATGGGGCAGAAGATCCAGGTCGTCTACCAGGCGGTCCAGGCAAGAATGAAGATATTCATTGTGGCTGTAGCTTTCATTCTCATTTGCTGACGAAATCAACTGTGCTGGCTCAGTTAGCTGTGAAAATTTCATTTCCCCACTAGACGTTTCCCATTTCTGGCTTCCTGTGATTCCATTTGTGTCTGTTGGTGGTTCTCTGGAAGTCCGGTCAGTTGAAAAGATAACCTGATCAGATGATGTGTCCTTGCTGCAACTGTTCCAATGATCTGTGCTGTTTGTTGTGTCTGTGTTTAACACAACTTTCTCAGTCAAACTCACCGGCAGGGACGTTTCTTCTTTCGTTCTGGGAGACAGAGATGAGGTGGTTTCACTTGAACAAGGCCTGTGACTATTCTTTATCTCGTAGGGTTTAGACCTCATCTCCGGAGGTCGGGCGTACCGGAAGATTGTCACAATCATCAGGTTAATGGGAAATGCAAGGACAGAGCTCTCTATGCCGATGATGATCTCTGTGAAGGTGATCCGGAAAGCTCCGAAGTCCATGACCTGCTCGGCGGGATCTGTGGGCACGCCGTAGAACATGATGCTGGTCAGCATCACGCACATAAGAAGGGACAGACAGCAGGAAACACGCTGGAGACGGGTGAAAGTGCTCCGGGCTGGCCGGCTGAAGATGGAGAACCACAGGTGGCCGTCCCGGAGGTCCCGGACGGTCCGCGTGGAGAAGAGATGGCGGAAGTCACTCAGCTCCTTCTCGGTGGCTGTCGGGAATGTCTGATCGATGTGGCCCTCACCTATGTCTACGGCCAGCCAGGAATTGCACAGGAAGAACCACCAATCGTCTGTCTCCAGATCATGTACCGTGATGCGGCTGACGTACCTGACGGGCGAGAAGTGAACTCAAATCAGGGAAAAATCTGACTAAATTACGGAAGGAGGTGATGCAAATTTGACTTGCTCTACTGCCCATCTTAAACCTACTATACAGAGACACAAATCCACGTTGAAATTTCCATCTCAGACCCAGTGCGTGCACACTATCCTGTCAACATTTCTCCCCCATAAGATAAACCTACGAAACATTGGTTGCACGGAGCGAGACCAAAACTACTTTGTGTATCAAGTCACGTTATCACAGTGTACATTCCAATTACTGACATTTAATGACAACAGGATGCAATCCAATGTGGATTTGAACTTGTCCGTTTCGCCAAACACATTGGTGTTTGTCGCATGGTTTTCTTTCACCTCCAAAACTCGAACATTTCTTTAATGTCATCTCTTCACAGACTTTTGCACAAGTTCTGGGTTTTCGAGGTAAGGCCCCATCCTGGTTCATAATTACCATTCTGGGTTCTCGCCTCCGTTGTCATGCCAAATTCTCACCGCTTTCACTTCCCCCAGGCTCTGCTTTGTTGTCAACAGGAAGGAGTCGACTCCACTCCTCTGCAGCACCTGCCGCTGTCTGTCCCTCAGGACGTGCGGCCTGCTCTTGCCCCTTGTGCCGATGAGGGTGAGCGTGACAATGGCTGTCGTGCCAGCTCCCCTACGCATGCCTGTGACGATGGTTACATCATAACGGTAGTGGGCAAAGGGGTCGTTGTCTTCTAGAGTGATTACGCAGGCCTGATACAGCATGTGATTGGGGAGAAAAAAGTTCTTAACTTAAAACTGGATCAAGTGAACGGCCCAAACTACTCAGTAATCCTGTTGATAGCAGCACTATCTTAGTCAAATCATTATTTGAAAGTACTGGCTAACTGACAAAGTCTATTCTGAGTTAGTAGGGCTGATCAGGGCAGTGTTTATCTCTGGTTTCTGCACCTAAGTATAAAATGACTGAGAATACTGTATTTCTATTTCCCTCCCCCCCCCATCACTGGGGGATTGGATACCAGACTATCTGAGGTTGATCACCAGACAATGCTGGTACTCACTGATACCTCTTGGAAGAAAAAGACAAGCAGGGGTAAAGTGACTTGCCACAAGCAAAAATGTGTGGCCAGCAGCGTGATTACAACCCCAAACCCTTTGATCATGCATCACCAACCCTCATCAGTAGGTCACATTTCCATTCATTGCTGACGAAACTATGGCTCAAGTTCGGCTTCAATGTCAGCTTTTCGATGTTCTACCTTCAATGCATCTGCCTTATCCTGCCTGCGAGCCCACACCGCCACAACCACGTACAGCGCCAAGATTACGACAACTGTGGTCACCACGACGGGGTTGTCCAGGAACGTTAGGAAGAGCTTAGTGTCTGCCAAGAAGTCGATCTTGTTGGGCATGACCAGAAAGCTGGAGCCAAAGAAGGTCAGGTGGTTGCAGAGACACTGGGTGACCTCGGGAGAGGACAACGGCCCAGCCTGGATTGTGATGGATTAAAGCAAGGGTTTGCGATTTACGGGGTGCATTGAAGAGCAGAATGTTAATGAGAGGAATTCAGATGCACATATTTGCTCCATCCACAAATACTCCTTCACCAGTGACAGCGATGGAGGCTGGTCATAAAAGCCGTTGCTCATTTAACAAAAACAAATTGCAGCACTGCGCCGGCACAACCGCCAAATGTCAGAGGGTTCATTCAACAGCTGGCAAATTTCATTGGCCACTATGAAGTGCCTTTTTGATGTTAGAGTGGTCAGTGGTCAGCAAGATGCTGTGCCATCATAAATTGAATTACATAATTGCCTGACTACAGTTTCACTCCCTCCAATATTGTCGGTCAGTCAAACATCCCACTGATTCAATCTAAAGCTCCGCCCATCGCCTACCCTGCAGCCTGTGCCATCCCACTCCTCCCCCTCCTCATTCCAGAAAAGACATTGGGAGCTGTAGACACCGATCAGGACCTTCAACGTGTCATCAGGCTCAGCAACTGGTGCCCTGGATTGGCTGGTCCCTGCAGAGTCTTGCACAGAGCATAATGCCTGGTACTTCCCTGTCAGTCAAAGAGCATTTCGAGACAGGCCTTAGAACAGAACGTATCTTATGATACGGTAAAAAGCCACAAAGATTCCCAAAGGCCTCTCAGGTGGGGGGCAAAGGCTTGACGTGACAATTAATGACGAGAATGACGCATACCTATCCCTGCACAGGAAAGAGAATTCGAAGTTGTCAAAACTGTTGGTTCATTTATGTAACAACTCATACAAAAAACGACCCTCTTTTATGGCAAGTTTCTGAAGATCATACAAGGACATAAAATCTAAGGGTAGGTTTCCTTTCTTATTGCACCTGCACCGCGCAGTTGTTCTGGGTCAACCATCCATGTGTATCTTTGCTTCAACACCCTATCTGCGTCATGAATGAGTAGCCAGTACTTGGAGGCCTCTCCAGGCAGTGTGGTGTTGATGTAACAGTCCGCCTCGGTCAGGTTCACCAACGACTCGTTCCCCTGGTAGTGCAGACAGCATGACAGCTCAGCACTGGTGTCTGACGGCAAGGCTAGCACACTGACTGTGGCATTGGGGTTGGTAACTTGCAAGGAGATCACGACAGTTGCGCTGCGGTTGACAGTCACTTCTGTATTGTTGGCCAAGGTGACTGTACGCTTGGGCACAAAGATCTGGATGTCCACAGGTAGGTCGGTAACTTAGAGACGAAGAACGATCAAGGCAAAAGAGCATCAGTGATTCAACTGAATATGGATGAGTAATACACCTACTTATTGCTGCCATGGCATTTGCATCATCTCAGGTTTCTTGCCCCACGAGACAGTGCCCTTTGCGACTGGACAGACTTGAGCTATAGGCCGACCTGAGTATTACTGTTCCATATGTATGAGCATGCACGAACATGAAGACTCTGAGCGCTCTCTATGTGCTTTGAGCAGATGCCCCCCCTTCAACAGCTGAGAAGAGCCATGTTGGTGGGGAGTTTTCATTTTGTTGGCAGCGACATTTCATAGCTGTTTGTGAACCAGTGAAGAGCAGTTCCCACCAACAGTGCCACCGTTGCTAGGAAAATTGCACCCTCTCTCGGTCCCACTCGGATCGTGGTGGAGTGGAAAATTACTTGTAAGTACTCTGCATCATAAGCTTGTGAACTAGTGTGCTGCGCTCGCTGTATCAGGCCCATGAGATGATCAGCCACAGAGCACGTCCACAGAAATTTTCTGCTCTTTTCTCCATTTAGGGTGTGGTCATTCCTTTCAGAACCCATGGTTCTCCTGATTGTAGCCCTACCCTACCTTTGATCTCCTGTCTGTCGACCGTCTTCAACTGAAGGCCAACAACTTCCGACGTGACGTCCTTGCTTCCTTCACTCCAGACAAACGGATCAGTGGCAAATTGCACCATCTGTCAAATGTGCCAAAGAACCCTGTTTTTAAATCTTGGTTGCATATCACTGTCTTTTTACAATTCACTGGAATCCAACAGCAGGGCTGTGCTTTCAAAATTTCCAAGAAGGATTCACATACCGATTAAAAACTGCCAACTTGTATAATACTGTATTGTGGAAAAAATCATAAAAGTGTTTCAGGTGATGAAAACGAAAGTGCCTCTCGGGTAGTTGTCAAAATAAGTCTCACCCTTTCATTCATGTCCAGTGCACGAACAGGGAGGTGAGACGGGCTTATAAATTCGGGCTACATAGTGTAATTTCTTTGAATTATCATTGGTATTTGAACAATAATATGGATCAATATGTGCACCATGAATCTACGAAACAGAATGTTAATGTGGCAATGTTGTAGTAAGCTAACTACAATGCTTTGCGATGCTCCTACATCCGTCACAAAATTCAGGGTCATTAGCCCATCCCAGCACCCTGTAAGTGCGAATTTCACCTTGGAATGATTCTTATTCACCACACCTGGGTATCGATGGCATCCGTGTAATTGGCTGGCATGAAGCTCCCGATGACTGCTGCATCTGGCAGAATGAACCCGCTGGGCTGGGCCTCCGTTACTCCGATAGACTTCCTTCCCAGGGTGCCCTGCTCCTGCCTCTGGGAGGTCAGAGTCAGCGCCGGTGAGTGGATGACCGTGGGCTCCTCGCCTGGCACCTTGTCCACGATGAGGGCATCCTGCACATCACTGATGGTGGCCAGGGTTGCCTTGGTTACCTCTTTGCTCTATAAAGGCAATTTCGGTTGTGGACTTTTTGTTCCTCGGGAGTATTACAATTTTGAAGCCAAAATATCCAAAAAAATGTCTTGATTTGCATGAAGCAAACAACTGTACCTTTTCTTTGACCTCCTTTTGAATCGCCCTGACGTCATCTTTGTCCTCCTCAATTGGTGTGGTTTTGTTTCTGGAAATCGTATCATTTCTGGAAACCGTATCTATTGGTGTAGTTGTTACGGCCGTCAGTTCATCCACGCTCGCCACGGCAGCATCCAGGATGTTGGACAGGCCCGAAACAAGATTCAGGGCTGCATCATCGATGGAGGTTTGGCAGCTTTCACAGTCCGTCCGCTCCACCGAGTGCTCTTTCAGGAACGCTCCCATCTTTACCAAGGTTGTAGCCGCAGTCAACTAAATCAAGGCGACGAGACAAGAGGGGGAAATTTCAAAATCGTTTCAACACGTTCTGGCTTGTGATATCAATGTAACAAAAATGGCAAGTAACTTGTCGTCCCAGAAACCATGTCTTTGACCACGAGATTTCATTCTTTATTCTGGATTCAGTCCACCAGGTCTAGGATTTCCAGGTAAGGCCAAGATGAAGGTCGCATCTCAATTTTGTGACAAAAAATGTTTATCATCATCCCGAAGACTCCCGGGATAAAAATATGTGAAACATCTGCTAAGAATCAAAGAACTGAAGTGATTTTTCCCCAGGACAAGATGACAGTCAATTGCATGGTCTGGACTTTGAGAGCAATAGTTACTGACATGCGATCACTCATTTTAGGGCTTCGGAGAGGGGCTACGTCATGTACGTCCACTGACTTGCACGTGCAGTGCAGAGCGCACATCGTGACTTTCTTTCTGCATGGACAGAAATCCAAGAATCTTGCAGGGGTGGACCCAGACCTATGGCCACCATGGTGTTGAAGTGTCTGTTTGTTGTAACATCTCTCTCCCTCTCTTTGTCACCAATACGGGGTACTCGCGTGCTAAATCCGTTTCAATGGAAGAGATGAGTCAATGACCGATACCTGCGTCTCTTGAGTGACTTCCATTTTGTCCTGGGTGATAGCTACCAGCGCGTAGGAAGACTGCTGCAGGGCGACTACTGATTCGACCGGCATGGTGGCTATGGTATTCACAGTTGATGTTCGAATCTGAGAGCAAATAACCACAATTTATGTTTCTAGTAATGGTTTCAAGAGCATTCCGCTGTCCACTTGACATGACTTCTTCAAGTTATGCACGTATTTATGTCCACATTCGGTTTTTTTGGCATTGAATGTGAATCTAGCCCTAGAGGGGAGAGGAATGTGGCTCCTACTAGAACTAGATACCGTACCCATTTGTAATAGTCCAATACCCACTGATCGGTAATTTCGTTAACGACACCTCATAAATATTCATGAGCAAATCGGAGTGCGTCATTGGCCGATTTCACCTCGCGTCTGGGAAGTAGAAATGATATGCGACCAGGTGACATCATAGTGGTGAGTATCCACCTCGCTGCCGTGCGGTATAGTTTTTTGTGGTAGCATCAGAAGATCCCTCTAATGGAACCCGCCACGTAAATATGTAGAGCTGTGTCATGTAATCTTTACGTAACCAGTCTGGAGTTGTATCCTAATAACTATTACACTAAACACCCAAAATGTATGTCAGCACCAGACAATTGAAAAGCCCTGTTTCTATATGCACATCTACACTCCACTATCATTACATGGAAATTTAGCAGCTGAGAAATAACAATGGCGTCTGTGACTACAAGTAACGTGAGATTTCTGTTTGAATATTGATGAAGTGTAGTAAAACAAATACAGCATGGTTTATTTGGGGAAAATAGTGGGAATTACTGGTCCCTCGGTGTAGGTCAGTTTGACTACTTCCCCTCAAACCATGCTGTATTTGTACATTAAAAGCATTCACCAGAATCACACGTATAGCATTTTCACCATGCAATTCTCTGCAAAGTGTCCCAACTCAGTACTGCCAAAAGAAAATACTCAAGTGCAATTTGATTCTGAGAAACTGTCAACTATGCTAGATGCGCAGTAATTGTTGAATGTCCAATAAAAATGTATACTTTTTACTTCTTTTTTCCGAATAGTCATGTCTCAACCCACTGAGGTTTCTTGTAATAAAAACCCCAAAAAATTGATCTGAGTAGCCTCTATTTATGGTTGGGTGTTAGGTATCCGGATACCCCTTGACAGTCCTATATGATTTCCCCCAAGATATTAATTCCTCACCTCTTCCCTTAACTCTTTGCTCTTCTGGGACTCAATGTGGTCCGGTCCCTTCCCCTCGCCAGCCGACCCATCATGGCTGTCCAGTATGGAGCCCACAGCCCCGATGATCTGCACGGCCGTCTGGAAGTCGCCCTGGTCAATCAGCCCCTGGAGCTCTGAGTCGGTGCCGCTGGTCAGGTTCAGTAGGATCTCGCCGGTGTTCTCATCATCCCCCAGGTTGACTGTCTCAGGAGATCGTACCTTTGATCATGACGTTTTAATCGGCTTGTTAATCGGGTTATGTTTTGTGGTGGATTAGAGAGCTGCGTTCCATTCAAAAGTTTTATCAAGTATGACGTTCTTGTGGAGTTACCTGTCATTTGGGGTCCACTGAAGATGTGCTCTAGGCCCTACAGTCAATATATGCACAGTTTGAAATGTATGGAAGGCAGAAAGGCAAAATAAACATATAGTTAGCAAAATGTTGCATAATCCTAAGCCACTGGTGCAGCAGTCACTGGTACTCAGACAGCAGTGAACCCCTTGTAAAACAGTGTTTGGCAAATAAGCTTTTGCTGATTTATATGGTTGTTAAAAGCTGTAAAAATTAAATGTAGTAATATGACCAAAGAATGACGTCACCTCTGCAGTCATCGTGAACATCACGGATGCACCGTGTATGTCGGCAACCTCCACAGCGATAGTCACCAGGTGACCCTTTGAAGCATCTCCCAGGGGAAGGTAGACGGAGGGAGTGGTGGAGGAAGCACCACTGTACAGAACGGGATCTGTGAACAAATAATATCAAAAATGGGAGAAAGGCTGGTTTAACTTTCGTGCAAGTGGGAACGCAGAGAACTAGCAACAAACGACCAATTGTTGGTGTGTAGCCGCCTTGAAATCTTACAAATTTGCAATGGTATTTCTGGACGTGGCGTCACAACTTTGCCTTCACCTTTACGTGGAATATCAACAGAGTGAGAAATCTTACTGACCTAGAAACTGCAAGGCAGCCTCATCCTTCCGCTCCAGTGCAGGCGGCACGCGGACCGTGTACATCAAATGGCCTTCCTCGTCCCAAAAGTCAACACAGTCGATGATGAATTGGGTCTGCAGGGCATAGCCGCTGGGTGGGTCCAGGCTGCACGTGCCCATCCTAGGCGGGGCGTTCAGTTCAAACGTGTAGTCGGCAAATCCTGGAGATGGGCTGTCAGGGTGGTAACCTGGAAAAACCGACACAATTGCATGGAATATTGCCTAACAAGCTGAGTGACCAACGTCAAATACATAAATTGTACACGGTAAAACGCTTTGACTTCTGATCACTGTTTAGGTCCATGAAGTCTTTCCTTGTGTACAACTGTACCCACATGAAAGATTTTGCTTGGATTGCAATGTCAGACGTACTCTGCAACTTGCAAAACCTCACATAAAGCCACCCATGTGTTTTGGGGGAATCAAACAGTTGGTCACAAGCCTAGTCTTATTGAGAACTACTTTGTGATAGTAACCAAAAAACTAGCTCTACTTGACAGGAAGTTTCCGGGAATCTTCACTCTCTATAGGGCTATACTGGGCAGCGTGTACAAGGTATTTATAAGTCAGCTAAGAAAACTGGACATATATCAAAAATGTAAAAAATTCCAACACCAACCTGTTGCCCTCACTGCCCGCTCTCTATAGTCTCCGTCATCAAAAGCCCCGCCCACAATGACAAGGTATGCCGAGTTTCTACCAGTGGTGGTCAACCTATCCCAATCAAAGGTTTCGTCCGGGACATGATCTCGCGTGAGCACATCCCAGACATAACTGACCGTGGAGGTTGGCGATGTCACCTGGAGTACAACCCTCTCTCCAACACTCAGTTTCTCCTCACAATTCTGCAGGCAGCTGCAGATTTACCAAACGAAAAAAAACAAAAAACAATCTAAATCAACACCGTCATCTGGAGAAATTGGCAGATCGCAATGAGAATGACACGTTACGAGTGAAAAGGGAACGCCGATGAAAGCAAAATCAGGACACCGACAGGGGACAGTGAAAATAGGGACGGTGAGAACAGGTCAGTTCTATGTTGCAACAGGTAAACAAAACCATGCTTTTGCATCTCAGCTGCCCTTTGAGAATGAATGCAAACGCTCCATAAGCACAGATGGAGACAGTTGAAAATGGTTGATGATATTTATTAGTGCAGTTTATTTTTCTAGTTTAAAGAGAAAGTTTTTCTCTATTTTTTCCATATTACATTCTGGGCCAGGTTCCATGCATAATAGTATTTGTCCTCAAGTCTGTCATCTCAGCTCTGAACTGAATTTTTTTTTTTACCTGGTGCGACAGGCATGAATTAATCCAACCTGCCAGAGCAGTCTTATGTGAGTGCCTTCCTTCCAGAAGGAAGTCTTAACTGCCTTAGGTATTCACAAATGTCAGTGCATTAAGGGATACTTTAAACATGAAGCACACTTCTGATGTGTGTAATTAACGAGAGGAAACTTCGTCTGCTTCTCCCTCTTATTTTCGGGATGTTCCCTTGAATGGCAAGGAAATAAGAACCCTTCCTCTTCAGTGGGCTAATTCAAAAGTAAAATCCAGACGAAAATCAAAGATACCGCACCCATCACTGTCAATAAGCAAGGCTTTCACGGTAAAAATGCCACTCTAGTAGGAAGCATACTGGTTAAACATTTTCATAAAACTCTGCATAAACAGCAGCATTTAGAGTAGGGTCGGGAGCATGAAAGAAGGATCATGTGAAGTCTGCCCAGCTGGCCTGCATGGTGCAATGGATAAAAGAAAGGAACAGTATGAAGGATAGTTGGGATACTGTAGGGTATTTTGTTTTCTCCGTTTGGATCCTGTTAAAAATATTTGGTTGAACGTTCATGCCCATATTTGTGGCCTCAGCGTTTTTCCTTCAAGGGAAAATTCTCATTGGAATGCGTTTTTGACTTCAGCCTTGTTTCTTAACCTGGAACTGCGTCACATGATGCGATCATATGCTCTTCCCGTGTTTCGAATGTTGGCATTTCTTTGAAAAGGCCTGTTTATTAATGGCGATATGTAAGGACTTCTACCTTATACTGAGAACGGGCGGATCTTGTGCCACAACAGTGATACTCTGAGATGTTGAAGAGTTCCCTCGTCCGGTCAAACTCACGGTCAGTGCAAACGTGTAAACCTCATCTGGTGCAAGAGTGTTTGCTGGCATCCGAATAGAGGAGTCGCTAAAGGGCAAACGATAGCTATTGCCGAAGCAAGCAGGAGCCACCACTGGACATAAAGAAAACAGGTTAGCCAAAATTCAGGCACTGTGTAAAGATTTCTGATATCGCAAGAGCAAAATGGTATTGTTATTTAAATATCCAAAGCAAATGTCTCATGAGATCTAGAGGATAGGCGCAATTGGCAGCTATGAATAATTAACATCAGATGTGAGAATATGCGTCTTCCCTAGGCCTGTGACTGCTTGCCAGATACCAGTCAGGATTTGACCTGTATGATACTGGGGGATACCAGGATCCATTGCTCATTTTTATTGTCCATAACTTTGCATACTCTGATTACTTTTTGGTAAGGGAAGTGCAACTTTTTATAGAACAGTCACATGGAAAAGTTACAATGATGAGGAAAGACGAAGTTAAATGCCGCAAATCTGCTACTTAACTTGCCACCTTCACCATGAAAAACTTCAAATCTCAACATACTACTTTACTCTGAGTCCCTACGAGTTCCCCACTTTCAGATTCCAAAAGACAGTTTTCTTGGACAGTCAAAGACACGGAAGTTTTTGCAGAGAATAGAGCAGTAAAATGCAATACATAATTAGATTTTTCCAGTAGGTGCTTAAGGCTGTTGCAAAAATACATGATTAATTCCTGTAATGCCAACATCACCACATTGGTCTCCAAATCTTACCCTGTGATTCAAGATCCTGTCTGCTTCCTTTTGAGCAGTACCAAGCATACTTCAGACCTCTGATGGGGTCTTGGAAATTATCAGGATCAAATGACCCTGAGCCATCCAGAACCAGCGAGGAACTGTAACCTAAGACAAAAGTTATTCAGTCTTTCTTGAGCACATGATCTTTAAACAGTAATTTGTTCCCCTTACCTAGTTATGGTACTTAAAAATTCTGTGGGCCTTCACTTTTTGGCATGTTTGAGGAAAAGTAACAATTTCTATGCAGCATTTTAAGGAAAGAATTTCAAGAAAAGACGACTGTTCTATAACAGAAATATTTATATAATAACTGTACCAAATAATAACTTTACCAATTATTTGTAAACCAAAATTTAATCAAAGCAATCAAGGCATGGTGTTTAAAGAAAATGACAACACTGATAAGAACTCACCGACGGACCGAGCTGACCCACCCAGGATGATCGCCTTGGGTGGACTGGGCTCAATCCTGACCCACACACGGTCACTGCCCTGGCCAATCACGTAGCCATACCCACCGCGGGCTGTCACCACGGCGCTGAACTGCAGCACGTGCAGTCCGTACCTCAGGAGACCCTTGGGGAAGTGGATTTCCTGCAGGTGCGTGGCAATGGTCCCGGAAAGCGCCATTTCGGTCTCATTCCTGGACTCCACTCGGAAGGCGGTCCATTGGAGGCCGACGCGAAAGGTGGTCAGGTTACACCATACGTCCGTGCGCCCTTGGAAAGACAGGGGCACGTGACGGGGATAGGTCAGTGGAAAGGAGGCGTTGGTTCGGTGGCCCGCAATTTGGACGTAGGACGGATGACACGGAAGGTTCTCCAGATCCTGTTTAATGGTATCATAAGTATGGTGCTAAAATTTGAACCATGGAATCTAATTTTTTCAGGGTGTACAGATTTGGCCATATGGCATTTAGCAATGCAGACCTAGTTTTTTCTTTCTCCAAATCTTCAGCAGAGGGTGGAGCTCAAATCTTGAGAGGGAGGAGCCTCTGAAGGATTTTGGAAGATAGAGCACAGCCTCTATTTTCCTTTGCTTATGGCTTCTTGCCACTAGAAGTTTCCAACATCTACGGATACATTCTTTGTATCCGTGCAAGCTGAGTGACTGAAGAAAGGACAAAAAAAGTTGTACACCAACGAACAACGCCAAGACTACTTGACTTACGAGTATATTTAAAACTCTTGACACTGCATCACTGCTCGATATTCCATCAGATGCGATGACACTGACTGTAAATTTCCCGGCTTCACTGAAAGACCATGTTATGCTGGGAGAGTGAGTGACCATTTCGTTGCTAGCTAGATACCACCGATAGTCTACGGAAACAGTGCTTCCAGATAGAGATGTGTTCAACACAATTAGCTGGCCAGTAAAGAAAATCAGGTCGCCTGGAGCCGAAAACACACCAGCGTCTACATAAAACAATATGAAATTCAAACTTGTGACTTTTGCCGATGAATTCCACCTTTTACTTTGTGACATTGTTGCACAAAATTTGTCCAATCATTTCCTGCCTGAAAATTCTCTTTCTAAAATACAATCAAATCAAAATTAAAAAAAATATCAGTTACTAGTTTCTTGACGGAGAATACCAAAAAAGAACAAAGAGAAATGTGTGTTTACCAGGAAAAAAGCACTAGGGTAACTTAAATTCAACTTAAAAATCTTCCTTTTGTTTGTTTTGCTTTTAATTTTTATTCAGATCGCATTAACCATCTACCTTCGCTGCCTTCCACAGCCACATCCATTTGTAGAACAGCGTCTTCTAGAGACCACGAGATGCAAGACTCCTGCTTCGTGTCTGTGTATAACGACATCACATTAACTACAAGCTGGCCTAGTCCTAAGCCCTCTTGAAACATTTAGGAAGACCAAGATCATCAAATAAAATCCTTCTGTGTCTGTAAATCATATAGATTCATCCAATTACATACCAATAAATTCATTATCTGAATCCCTTCCTTGGCAGGGGCCTGCAATTGTTGAATTGTCTCCAGCAGGTAGGTATAAGCAGCATTCATAAATACCTCAGACAGTCTCCCTATTCAACAACGTGCAACTTGACCGTGTATTAACATTTGATAATGCCGTAAATCAAGCCCTGGCACCTAGATATGAGACAGTTAAATCGATTCTGATTGGTCAAGAGTCTTTGTGCCGCGCCATGCATGCACCAAGTCCAAATAAGGAGATACTTTAAGACAACTTGCACAAGGAATATACCATAAAATGGACCGGGGTGTTCGGGAAAATGAAAGTAGAATTCTAGAACAACATAGTTGGAATTTCATTATATATTGACCTCTTTTGACTCTAACTAAAGAAGGTATTTATGAATGCAAATAAGTATGTGCTTGTTAAGACTGGCTCACGAGAATGAACGCTGATAATGCCCTTGCCTGCAGCTCTATTTGTTTGATATTACAGGCATGCTACAAACATGGCATTTCGCTTTCAAAGACTCATTTATTAATTACAGAGGGGAGTGGAAATGGGTGTTTTGTGATGTCCACTGCTAAAAACTTACTGGATTCTTGGAGCAATACCCGCAACGTCCCAAGCATGCCATCCGGATACACTGGCCGAATGAAAAGTCGGCAGTTGAATGGGGACTCCAACCCAGTTATGAAATGGTAAGTCGTCTCTGGTAAGGACTCCTGAAATAAAATTTCCCCGGTACACTCGTCCCTGGTTACCAGTTCATAGCCAGAAGCACAGGGATCCGGTTGCCAACTAACGAACAGCTGATGGGGATCGCCTGACGTCACTTGGAGCCCAAGCACGCTATTCTGTGCTGAATGATACAAATCGATGAAGGATGGTTATCAAAAAATGAACACATTTTTTAATTCATTCAAATTATGAAGCCAGTATTTTGAACTTAACAAGACTTCAGTACCAACTGGCAGGCATTTGAAAGTTACACGCTGTATACAGCATAAAGTGGATGCGACATGAGCAAGTATACATAAGAGCTCCAGTGAACTGTCTCATTACTTTCTTTATTACCACTGACAGAGTACCAGCGAGGAACTTTGTCAATACCGAGTCTTTCATTTTGGTTTTCACCTTTTTTCAACTGTGATGCAGAGATATTTCTTTCCATACTCTGCAATGTTTCTGTGAAGTGGATTTGGAGAATTTGACTTACTTGAGCACTGACAGTTACTTCCAAAGTATAAAGTATCACAACCTGACGAAAGAAACGTTAGTATTGCATTAATTTTCAAGAACAGATATCCTGTTGCAGTATACACGCTATAAAAGCTTTGAAATGAAATTTAAAGGATAGGCCATTGGGAACAAATTTAGAAAATTAAATGGGGAAAACACGGTGCTTTCAGGGCAATTTGTAAATTGTATACCAATTTATTTTGATTAATCAATCTCACCTGAGCTGCATTCTCCTGTATCTTTTAAACACGTTCCGCCAGATGCACAGTGACATGTCTGCTTGCAATCGGCACCAAAGGTCCCATCGTCACATTCTTGCATTTGATATTTATATAAAAACGAAATGCAAACAATCTTATGAAATCTATTTTACCCTTTCTTCGTATCCCCCAATCACCGGTTCTGTGTTCAATTCACTCTCAATTCAAATTCCCTTTTATACAGGGGATAAACTAGATAAACGTGTTGCAGAATTGCTTATTACGGTGTTTATTCGACCTGAAAGAGCCTACCTTGCATGCAGTCCAGGCCCGTGTAACCTGCAGCACATGAGCAACCATAAGGGTCTGGAAGGCAGAACAGGTGTCCCCGGCACGCATCATGATGACGATCTCCACTATCCGAACACCTCTGATCACCATTCTTGCCAAAGACATGACGACCGTGTACTGCAAACCCGCAGAAAATCATAAACCCAGACAAAAAAAGCTACACTGAACACTTGTCTACTAACCTTAGTATTCAATTGATTCCTAGACTGGTTAACGCACCTTTTCTCCTCCAAATGGTGCATGGTATTAACCATACTGGTTTTCTTCACGAACTGTTTTTACAGATGTTCTATGTAGGCCCCAAAGTTGCTTTAAAACACAAGAGTATAATCAATGATAGATCAGTCTACTGCCACCATGTGTTTGGAAGGCTCTCATTTACTGCACCTTGCTCACAACTGTCTCCGCTGAATCCTGGAGCACAAACACAGGTACCAGACTTGTCATGGCATACACCCCCATTGTAGCATTGCCGACAGGTTTTCAGACATGACGGTGGGTCCCACAACCCAGAGGGGCAACCTGACATTTTATTAACAAAGGGTTTACAATTTAAACCAAGACCAACACAAGTAGAGAGCATTTAATGAAAAATGCTACATTTTTGTTGGAGCAATTAGTCTGGTACAGTTTAAAGCATTCCGGAGAAAAGACAAATGATATTTTGCGACAAGATGATACCGGTAGGTGTATGTCAGTTGCCAGACAGGATGTAAGGAGTGTCCGATTGCCATGAGATGGACATTTTGCAAGCCAAATCAGGACGCTGATAAAAAGCAAGATCAAGGGGGGGATGAACAGAAATGGGCGGATGGGACGGAAAAAGAACTTTGCAATAGCCAAACAAAAGCCTGGCTACGTGCCTGGTCAAGACGAATACAACCAAGGACAAAGTAAGAGCAATGGATCTGAACGTGCAATTATACACATCAATTGTGAGACTTCTGACTTATGATTTGCACAGTTAGGCCCAGTCTCTGGCTCCAATCACCACTGGTGTGACAGGCAAGAAGTGACAGAACTGGGAATATACCTGTATGAAAAATGCGAGGAAATAGCTTCAAAGAGACAGTACAAACGTGTATTCCTGCAAGGCACAAAAATCATAAAATTTCAATCAACCGGAAACGAACCTCTTACAATAAGTCTCATGATACCGTCCAGTTGTTCGTCTTCATGGTCTGAAGCAAAACAGCTGTATAATCCTTCATTTGCCATGATTACATTTGGAACCGACACATCCAGGAGGTTGTTCCAAGATGCAATGACGTCATTACCATTATGCCGCCATCTGTAGTTGGTGTTCGGTGAGTTAACATTACGCATTTGCAACATAACAGAGTCTCCGGTACTTGCCGTCTGCGTTCGCTGAACAGGGCGGAGGTGAATGTTGTTTCCTAAGGTTTGACAAATAAATGAACTTCAATTAGTATAGGTAAGGGAGATTATTCTAAAAGCGAAATAACAAACCAATTTCAAATATTACTGCAAAGAATCAGCATCCCCAAAATTGACATCAGGATAATAGTTTACACTATGAAACAAATTGACTGTCGGCAAAATGAACTGTTTTCCAACCATTTAATTAGAGTTCCTAATCACTTCTGAGGCTTTTGAGGATCTGAATGACTTTGAACACACCTACTCAAGGAAAGGCTGCTCGAATAACAAAAAATCAAATTTGTACAATTTTTCCCTGCAAATATCAGAATGCACTCACTTTGAAACACATTTTTATATTATAAAACCGACTACAAAAACCTAGTATTTATGTACCTCTCACAATAATGATTATGTTCCAGATGATACCTTGAAATTATGTCCTACCTTTTGATAAGATGACGATCTGTATCCTGGTAATAACGTTGTTATTCAGTGCCTCCGAGTAGAAGACACCGGTGCGATTCAATCCACCCTCCTCTGGTAATCTCAGGGCCAATGTGGCTGCACATCCCGTCGACGGATCAGCCACAACCAAGGACCCCGACGGAAGTTCTTGACTAGTTTCTCCTGTTGCCAGTTGGCGACCAAACGTTACAGCGTTTGTGATGTCGCCTGCACCTCTGTAGGCTGTGATGGACGAACTGTTGTCTCCAGTTTCACCGAGGAGAGCAGGATTCGCAACCAGAGTAATATCCACAGCATTTACTGTAGTTAAAAAAATAACTTTGCGCAAGGGTTAACTTTTAGCAAAGTCTTGTTAGTTGATGACTTAAAAGGTACTTCAAGCCAATATAACTGACTTCAGATTTTAATTGAAATCATTTTCCACATTACTTTCTTTCTTAAAACCCTGAAAAATAAATCAGTCCTTACATTTTACAACACAGTTATTTTGTTCTTGGCAGATTCAACATTAATTCAGACATATTTACCAGCTTGTTGGAAGTCACACGTCGATACTGTCACCTCACACAGTTTAAGGCTTACACCTCCCGGTATAGCAACACTAACATACCGGGCAAGCACAGGCGGATCGCAGGTAAACTCTAACCAGTCATTGATGATGGCCTGACTTCTGGTCACCGGTGTGCCACACATGATGTTGTCGGTGTGAACTTCGCTCAGGCCCGCCTGTACCATAGCATCCTGCAAGTTTGGTTCTCCAGAGGAAAGTACAGAATTTTCAGTCATAATTTGATTTTGTCTCGGCATCTAAATTGCTTTTACTAGTTCATCTTTTCTTGCGTAGCTGTTTCAACAGGTTACTGCTAATGTTTGATTCTCTAATTCCTTGTAGAAGATAAATAAACACAGCAACACCCCAACCAACAAACAAACCAAAATCGACAACTGATTCTCCTCACCTGCTGAACTGCCGGTATTCCTGATGCGAATTTTTCCAAGGCAATTATTTGACTCCAGGTCAACTCTCCACCATGGGTTCTCTTCGTAATCTGAGTAGATGTATAAAAACATGAGGGCTGTAAATTATCGGTTTTAACGCTAACAGTGGTTTTAACACGAGTTGAGGCAGTCACAAATCTGCAAATCGTTCAAGATAGGTGGGTTTTCTGAGTCCAATTGCGACAGAAATTGCTGGGCAGGCCAAAGTGACAAGACAACTTGTTGGAGGGATCTTACTTGTGATGCTGCAGAACGGTTCTTCTGGGAGCCCATCGAATGCCCTTCGAGCATCCCGTCCACTCATCGTAGAGCTCTGATTTGCTAATTTGCCAGTCAAATTGAGGGCTGCTTCAAGAGGCATATCAACAGAAGGAGAAGGGCACATAAGATGAATCCAACAATATTGGAGCACAAAAATGTCATGCTTAATTAATTGGCATTTCAATACTAGAGTGGATGGATATACGAAAGCAAACATTGCAAAATAGTAACTATCAGCCCAGCTCACACAACGTAAGAAATGCATCTGTCATCTGCCTGTAGAATAAAACTAACTACCAGCCAATATTTCTTCAAAATAGATTCAAAATTGATAAAATTTCTTTCTTTCCTTACAACTGTCGGCGCCCCCTTGCATCCTAAACTTAAACTAACATTATTAAACTCATTTGATATATTTATGGATGAAAGAAAAATAAATATATCAGAATTTTTGTCGGGTAGTCCTTCCTAATGTGTTATGTTTTGATATACTAATTCCATGTCACTTTTACTTGTCCATATGGCTCATTTTGGTAAGAGTTCCATATACTGACATCACTTATTTTCCCTTGCAGGGGTTAATAAGCCACCAGATAGTGACAGTGTAACCTAGAAAAATGGATTCCACAGGGAACTGGCAAAATTACACATCAAACTTAAATTTATTCTAGGCTACAACAGAATGTGTGAGAAGGGATTGCAGGATTAGTGGAAGGCAGAGGTAGGCTAAACTTCTAAATGACTTACAACAGAGATATTTGTTTTCACAAAGATTAAAATGGAAGAGTAAATCCATTAACAAAAAAAGAAAGAAAAGATAAAACAGACCAATCCTTTAACACTACACCTTAGCTCAACTCATTCAATCAAGACTATTTGAACCGTACCAAGAGAAAAAAACCTGAAGCCCAAACTAACCCTTAAAAATTAACCAACAAAACTCCAAGAACATGTAAACCAAAACCCGACACAAAAACCAACATATAGTATTTGAGATAAGTCACAAAAACATTACACTCAAGTGTCTACTATCAAGCCAGACAGACAGACACAGGCAAAGCAGACTTCTAGTGTTAGGCTGCCATTATTAAATTCTATGGTTCTCATTTCTTTTACCACTTGAGGTGAGGTCGGTTGGTCTAAAAAAAATCCTTAACAAAAAAAATTCCATGTTGCTGGTGTAGGGCTATGCACGAACCTCAGCGGGCCACGGAAAGGTGTGGTATACTGAACGTTAATGCAAATGCAGACCGTAGCTGTTGGTCGTTTGCAAAATTGTAAGTTTTCAGGGCTTTTGTTTTCAAAGGTCAATTTTTTCCCCTGCAGTCTTTTTTGGGGTTTAGGTCTTTTTAGCAGGGTCGGCGGGGAAAAAAAGCTTTTTTTTCCGTGATTGGGAGCCCTAAATAGGATCGGTCAGAAATGAGAACCATAGAACGTAAAAAGGGTGCCCTTATCCACAAACGAAGAAGAGAATGAGTCTGTCTGTGTCCTCTGGCTGCCAGTCTGTTAAAGTATCAATGAGGGTAGGACCACATGATGGCCCCACTAGAAGGGTAGCCTGGGCTTGTGGACAGGAAGTCATCATCATTTTAGACATCATCTAATAGCCTAGAGGGAGATTACCAAACCCCACGAAGTCAAATTCAGCAGTAAAAATGTTGAATCAGTTAGAACACTGACCATATAGGCTCATAGGGTCTGTGCAGAGATGTTCGTAAAGCGGAACTCTTTCCCTATATGTTTATAATATTTTGCTACTTCTTGACTTTTGTCCACTTTATACAGATATTTCGTTCATTATTATCACTGTTTTATGAGCATGGGCATAAATGTGATTGACTTGAATTTATACTGCACTGTATATTCGATTCTTGCGTATTTGATAGCGTACCAGCAGCTTCTAAGTACTAGATATACTGTGGATATCATCATGGATGTAGGCCTACCGAGAAAAGAATCGGTAATGTGGACCCTTACAAAAAAGTTCTATAGAACTCTACAGAATTTTATGGAATGCTGTATAATATAGTTCTATAGAATGCTCTGGCATTCACACTTTTCTATAGAAATTTTAAGGATTGTCTATAGAAAATGATTTTGTCTATAGAATTCTATAGCAACAGTTTCCTATAGCACTATGCAATTCTGTAACTTCTTATAGAACCCTATATACAGTCGACTCTCATTATAAAGAATACTGTCATAACAAAACACTGTTACAAAGAACTGATTTCAGGAATGCCAATTTCTTGAATTGTTATTTGTTTCCTTGTTTCTACACTGCTTTTATAACAAAGCTTGCAAAGTTCTGCTTATTACAAAGTAATTTGTCTGGTGCCTGCAACCATGTTGAAAATCGAAATGCCAATTTTCACACCTGTTGGTGGGAGATCACACGGCCAAATCATCACCTCACAAAGGATAAGAGTCAGATTGCCCGGTGCATCGACGCTGACATAACGTGCGAGCCTGGATGGCTCACAGGTGAATTCAATCCAATCATTGATCAAGGATTGGTAGAGTGTCACAGGAGAACCACACATGGCGTTCTCTGTAGGCGTGGCACTCAGGCCGGCACGGACTACTGCTCCGTATAAGTTAAGCCTAGTGTAGACTGAAATACAAGGTAACAGAACACAGGAATGTAACTTTGCCTTTGTTGGATAAACTCCTGTTCCTCCTTTCCCGGCTGCTTAGAAAAGGGACTCTCGAAATCTAATCATCCCACTTATTCCCCCATCTTCTTTTCTCCAATGGATTGTTTTTGGCTACGTACCGTGACTCCATAAATAAACAAGAGAGGGCGTTGTGAAAGGACCGCTGTGGACCTCATTCTATGGTATTTAAATGCCTTTAGATGTGAAAGTCTGCTTGGATCCCCAAATGGCAGAGTTTTGTTTTCTCAAAGAATGAATCCATTCAGTTGTTGATTATTTAAAGATGGTCCCATGTGACGTCATAGGAAAAAAGTCTTATACGGGCCTTCATTCGACACTTCCAATGAATAAAGCTGTTCCAGTCGTGTCGACCTATGTACAACAGAATAGTACGTAAAATGGCCTGATGACCATGGCAGATGTTTATTCTCCGTTTTCATTGTTGAGAGGTTTTTAATGTTAAAGGCGTTTATTAGACGTTAAATTCCCAGAAGCTTACCGAAAATATCGTCCATGTTCCGAACAGCAATTTTCCTAATACACTGTGCAGAGGTAAGATCCATCCTCCACCACGGGTTTTGCTGAAATTCTGAGATAAAATCATTTTACTTATGGTCACATGTGTTAGACTAGGATGGAGCTTAATGGAACAAATTTGACGTTTGGTGAAACCTGGGTGCTAAAACGGCATAAAAATAAGTAAAGTGACCACCAGCTCCAGGGCACACTGTTCTTGGAATTCAACGTATCCGAGCAAAGAAAGGGAGTCATATATCTGTCACTTATCAGATTGCATCATCGCTTTCAAGTCGTATCCAGAAGCAACACGCGTACCTGTTCTACTGCAGCTTGTGCCCTCATACAGCGACAATCCATCTACGGCTCTTGCGGAGTCCCAACTATCACCGTTTTCTTCATGGGTAGAACTCTGGTCGCTTTGGCTACCAGTCAAACTTAGAGCTTCGTAAATTTTCGTTAAAGACAAGAACGAAAACAAGAACCATTCATAACATATCCATGTGCCAGGCTCACGCTATACGTATACGGTATGTGATATCAGTCATGATTGCTCATTTTTCTCGGGGTAGGCGATAAGAACTTTTGGGTGGAAAACACTCCGTAGATTGAAGGTGTTGCAGATCTAGATCATAGTTAAAAAAAAAAGGAAAAATTGATTTTCTCCCAAAATAATGCTCAGAAATGCTGAGTGTGTTTTATTTGTAACAAACTCAAGCTTAGAACGTAAATTTTTCAAAAAATGACAGACTTCCTTTCAATCCGAAGAAGTGGCGCGGAAAACATTTTGATCACGTAAAGACAACTGCTTTTTGTTTCTGTCCAGTGGGATTTAACAAAGCAATTAATATTTAGTTTATTTGACACCTTTTAACAAAGGGAAATGCCTATAAGATTTTTGGTAATGAATTGAAGAGGGTTCTGTTAAGTTACGCTAAAACCGCTTTATTTACCGTCGGCATACTGGATCCTAAATGGGTTTAAAGGGGTAATGTTACAGAAACAAATAAGACGGACAGGTTGTTAAAAATTGTCAAAAGTAAATTGAATAAGTTCAACGGCTGTTTTTGCTGAAGCAGACTCATTCGACTTTTAATACTGCACAATTTATGAAACAGCCATCGCCTTCTGTAATAAGGATCAGTATCAAGTTTCCAAAGAAGTTACCAACTTAGAAATCAAAACAGTAAGTGATAATTTAAGACTTTACTTGCAAGATAATTAAAATTCTATTGGAACAAAAAAACGACGTTTACGAAATGAAAATATCTCCTCAGCGCAATGTAAACTTCAAATAAAAATATCAGCGTAAGTAGAAAGTACTTTGATATCAAATGAATGATTTGTGGCTCTGTAATGTTGGGAGAGGGTGAATATTATGCTTGGTTACTCTTGTTTTCTTTTGACACACTGATCGCGCGTTAGCTGTGACTTGAGTGTGGTGCTACCTTCGCTCTACCTTGATACCCACCTGTTGATGGAGTATCAACCGTATCCATCGAGACCTCTTCCACCATGAATTCGGTCAACTGGACGATAATATTTGAACCACTGGCAGGGATGTCCACGCTGACGTATCGTGCATTAACGTACGGATCAGGTGTGAAATCCAAAACTGCTCCGCTTATAGCCTGCTCTTCTCTAACGCGTCCTATTTCTCGGTTTAGCAGATGGTTGGCACTCATTCCAGCACGGATTACATTGCCTTTTAAGCGTCTTGCTGTAATTACATCAGTCCGTATATATACATTTTATCAATGACTTAATGGGACTATTCATAAACTGATGAGAGGATTAATATTAGTCTGTTTGGATAATGCTTTATCACAACCATAACCACCCAATCCACTGACCTATGACGAGTTTCGATTTCACATGTTTTACCGGGGCCTTAATTCCTAGGGGGTATTCATTAGGTTTTATTACACTGTAGAAACAGCTTTTCAGTCGGCCTCTACGGTTGACCAGGGGGATCGGAGTACAAGTCAGCGAGTCGCGGAGGTTGTTCACCTTCCATCCTCCCTGACCCGTTACGCCACTGAACAGAGAGGAAGTGATGGCAAACGTGGCCAGATTGGGAACTACGAACGATCTCAATCCATGGCCGTTTTCCCAATACTCAACAGCGGCTCCGTCTCTGGCTTCAACTGTTTTTTTTTAATAGCTGACTTTGAAGTTGTAAGCGTAGCAATCAGTCTAATAGCGCCACAGAACATCAAATAAGATGCAAGAGAGCCAAAAAATTACAGTAATCCAATGTAATTTAAACGCTTCAGGCCCACAATCGGGGATTGGTTTTGGGAACGAAGCCTCAGACGGAGACGAAGTCGAGTATTGGAAAACGGCCCATAATAGTAAGGTTTTACATCGAGTTCTCTTGAAAAATCGGCAGTTCCGATTTTAATTAAGTCCCCGTTAAGTACCAGACACGAATGGTTTTGGCTTCAAGGAAAATACCACGCTAAAATATTGTATTTGATCCATTGACGAAAATGTAAAAAAAAGAAAAAGAAGATGGCAACCGAAGATGCACAGAGTTAAAGTTAAGTATCATTCAAGGTTTTTTACCGCTCTGCTTCTGGTCGTATCTGCTATATGCCTTCGCTTAACAGCAATACTTGCCAATTACGCGCACGTCCCTTATTCTATTGACTAGTGTGATTTTCCTTAAGCAGTAGACAGCGCCTAGATCCACCTTCCACCACGGGTTGACACGGTCAGATGGATCTTTCCATCCTGTGTGAAGAATAATTATGTTAGAGTTACTTTTTTTCAACGTGTATTCTGATAAAACAGAGCCAAAATTTCCTGCAAATAAAACAGCGGTGCGGCCCACTCTGCACCGGTATAGGGTCAGGTATACAGGTTGTATAGGTCGCCCGAGCAAGCGATGCGTGTGCTGCGCTGGGGAAGCAGGTCGAGCCTCAGTGAAGCAAAAAGGTGCGTGAGCAACGAAGACGGAGACAGCTATCTTCTGGGCTGTTGTTACTTCTTTGTTGAGTTCCTCGTAATTCTGACGATCCCCTGACGAATCTTCATAATAAGTTGTTGGAGTGGAAAACAGGAAATCGCCGCCTCGTACACTGACTATTGGCAAGAACGTTTATGGGGCTTCGCACTCGACAACATTTCAACATTTTGGCTTTTTTTTCGTCAACGACCTTTTGGGGAGAGCAAAGGTGAGCTGACAGACTTCGTCTGCCATGAATTTTGCCAATGATGGGCTTCGACTGAAACGGACTAAAACAATCGTATTTGACCACAATGCACTGCCTGTATTTCAACAAAGCAGTCGGCACAGGACATTTTTTTTTTATGTTGGCTCAAGGCTGAAATGACGCTGCAATGACGTCACAGTGTCATTTCAACATTGAAACAGTGTTGGAACAATAATATGTCGCGCCCACTTGGAACTAACACCAATGATAACTTTCAACGCAAATCGGAGAGAAAAACATTCGGAAAAAATTGCGGCTTTCCGACCTCGCCTTAGACTTGATGGGGTATTGGGCCTGTTGAGGATGGGTCACGTGGTAAGAAAATTTAGTTGTCATCGTCTTTTTATTTACATGAAGGATTCCCTCAAAGACCAAGACGCACTCCACTCTCTGGTATAATATTTTGAGGTAACTTCTATTCTGGATCCTTATGAAACGCCGTTTTAAGGGCAGAGCACATGCCCAATACAAAGAGAAACGTAAGCACGCCCTCTATCTTCTCACGAACAAGAAATATTTTTTCTGTACGCCACTTGATAAACGTATTTGTTCAACACTAGGCCTACTAATACTATTTAAAGAGACAAACTATAATGAAATTGGGAAAAAGTAACAAACAAGGCGTAAATAGCTTCAAAAATAAAAAATCTGAACTTATGCTGAAATACGATTTCTTCCAGCAATTACATTGCAAGAAACTAGACATGCAGCTTCCGCCTTAATATTCAACCCATCTCAATCAGACAATGTTCGTTCGTAGCCAGCACTCAACGATTTGTAAACCTACGCCGTAAAGATGGGAGCCTCTCCCCCGATTGCTGAGGAACAGTGAATATGGCAGTGTCCGGGAGTTACTCTGAAGCAGTGATAACGCACGCCTTCAAGAAAAGCACAAGTCAATTCTAGACACGGCCTTACCCATTGGGATTAAAACACTGACCTGTATGTGATATGGTTTTAAGCTTCCTATCCACCGCTGATGACGCCCCGGCGTATCGCCCTGCGTCAGAGCTCTGACTTGTTATAACTCTGGTGCCCCGTAGGTCAAGAGCTAGTCCTGCATGCAGTATCCATTGTAATTTGTGTTGGTCATTGTAAAATATTCATGAATTCCGGCTTTTAGGCTAAAGATTGATGATATCCCGACTGTCCAAGTTGTCCAACTTTGCTGATAATTTTGGTTGATTTGTAAGAAGATACTCACTGGTTCAGCTTGACATTTTCAAATTTTGCTTTAAAATGCACATTCAGAAATACTCTCCCAAAATGTTTTGTTTATTCATAAAATGAAGTCCTTCCGACTACCGAAATGATATGAGCACCAGTTATTTCCTGGCATAGGGCCTACGCCTACTTTTAGGTAGGCCTACGGTGTGAATATGTACAGCGGCCAGAGGCAGGCTGGTGCTTTTTGCTTTGAAAGCGATGTAAATTGTGTACAGCAGCCTACCTTGTTTAAGGGTGGAGAGAATGTGTAAGATGAGAAATGTACTGAGATGAGTCCTGAACATCATGATCTCATCCTGTCTTGTTGAAAAAACACGTTAAACTCATGCAACGTGAAGGGGAATTTACGATGCACGCAAATGCGTAAAGAACTAGTCGATGCCACGCTAAACGCGTAAAACGCGCGTCTCCTGCGCCCGCGGAGAGTATGCAACTGATGGTCGTAATCAAAGATTAAATAGCGCCGCTATGCGGCCATAAAGATGTTATTACCATGGACGACATTCGAGTGTGAACGTTCGTGTGTACGTGTGTGCGTGCCTGTCGCGGCGCCTGCGCATTAAAATGCACTGCGCAGTCGTAGTCCAACCAGAATGGCGCCCATGTAATAACAACGTTTTACGCGTATTCATGGTGAAGTTCCCCATCTTGCGCCGCTACGTGGCGCTATACGATCTTTGGTCATAATGCACGTGCTCATCCTCCTGAACTGAATTTAGGAAATCTCATGTGAGGTTTTGATGCTATCAAAAAAATAAAAAATAAAAAATCTGTCAATTGACAACCAATGTTGTATCCTACCTTTAATATCACACTTTTTGAAGTTTGACGTAAATTTGCTGATTTTATAGAGTGGCTGTAAAACGTCATGATAAATTTCCAAAATTCATGTTAGGAACGAAAATCTGTTTTCTAAGCTGGTTAGTTTGGTGGGATCTGATGCCAAAAGTTGGACTGGAGTGGTATCCCTGGCTAGTTCTTCTTTAAATATCAGACTGAAAAAATTCAAAATGCTCTGAAGTATATGGCAGAACCAGAAAAATCGACCAGAGTCGAAAGCGACATTATAAGCAATAGAATTGTACTCCACTGGCCCATTATGAGTTATACCCCATCTGAAAAGTGTCCAGATGTCACCAAGCGTTCCACAACTTCATGGAATGCTCATTATGCGTCAATATGAACTTCATTCGGACAACTGTTCTATGACACCATTCGCAGAGAACACTTCATGTACTAGCGCTGGTCCAGATTTTAATTCTGGCCGTTACTTATCGTCAGGGATGAAATTTGCCAGTTTTTAAAATATCTGAAACTTCATATTAAAAGTCTGTAAGACGCATTTCTAAGCTTCCTGTACCGATATAAATGCTATTAGATTCAAAATGTCAGAATTCAGACAGAAGTCTTAAAATATCCTGCCTGCTTATTGTTTCTCTTTGCAATGCACGCGTGGCCAGAATTAAAGCATAGAGGAAGGACATAGAAGGAGTTACAACTCTGGCACATCAAAGTGCTCGATGGTCATCGCTGCCCGGTCAGATCAGCCGAAAAACAGTAAACACTCCAAAAATGCCTGATTACTGCCTGCAGCTTAGCCGGACAAGTGGGGCCAGTAATATCGTAGCAATATTTGTGGTGTTTTCTTTGCAAATTCACTACAACTTATCGCAGTGACCGGGAAATAGAAAGAAAAAATATCAAACGCTAGATTTACTTTTACCGTCGTGAATGGTATTTTGATGCACTTTTCCATTATCCATGCAATGTTTGTTATTTTGTCACTCCAAAACATCAGTTTTCAAGTCATTGTACGAATTTGGCTAAGACTGGCCAGCAACATGTTGTCCACCACAGGACAGTTAAGTTCATAAGAAACAAAATGCGCTATTTCGTCACAAGGAGTGATTCATGAGATCTCAGAAAATACCTTTCTGTATAGATGCCGAAATAAAAATGATTAAATTAAAACACAACATCTTATAAACAACTTGGCCATTTATTCCCAAAACAACTCCAGAAGAAAGCGTTTGACAAGGGCAATGACTGCACATGAACACTTTGGGCCCACAGCCTAATACAAGCAACTGCGCATGCGTTAAATTTGATTTTGTTGTCAAATCATACCAAGCAACAACGATGGCATGAATATTCAACTTTCTATACTGTAGTACACGACGTTTTAAGGATGCGGATTACTAGCGAGAATTGCGGCGATGATCACGGGGTACAAAGGGGGCTTATGGTTGTGAAACAGGTGATGTGTAGCATGCATTCGCTGCACTTTGGCTATGGACATACCGGGCACGCCAGATAGCCAGATGTTATAGCCCGGGCAGTTCAAACTCCTTCTGTGTCCTTACTCCATGTTCAAAGAGATCAATGATCTGAAGAATAATAGAAAACATTCCAAAAAATGCCTGATTACTGCCGGCATCTTAGCCGGATAAGGGGGGCCTGTAATATCCTTGCAATACTTGTAGTGTTTTGCTTGCAATTAAAAACAAATTGTTGCTGTGACCAGGAAATAGAGACAGGAAAGGCCCTGATATTAGACCTACTTTTGCCATCGTAAAGAAAACTTTTTAAATTGTGATACACTATTCCATTATCCATGCAAAGCTTGTAATTTTATTCTCCTCCCTCCAATACATCAGTTCTCAAAGACTTGGTACGAATTTGGGCGAAGACTGGCCAACAAAATGTTGACTACTACTGGAAAGCTTAGTTCATAAGGAACAAAATGTGCTATTTCATCACAGGGAGTGATCACGAAATCTCATAAAATACGCTTTTGTACAAATGCCTCAATAAAAACGATTCAAACCAAACACAAAATCTTGTAAACAACGGGGCTATTTATACCCAAAACAGCTCCAGAAGAAAGAGCTCATTAATTATGGGCAATGACTGCACATATACTTTTAGGGCACACGGCGTAATGCAAGCAACTGCGCAAGCATTACATTTGATGTTGTCATGAGATCATACCAAGCACCAACAAAGGCATGAATATTCAATTTCCTATACCTCAGTACACAAAGTTTTAAGGATACAGATTACCAGCGACAAATTGCGTCGGCGATCATAGCGTACAAAGGGGTTTAGTGGATGTAAATCAGATCCTCCGAAATCGTCTAAAATTTCTTGAAAATGTTACTTCAAAATCCAGTGGCAATTCCTGTCATTATGTTGAGGCAGTGTGACTAGCATTCTTGAGCAGTGTTGTTGATTCGAAAGAATTTATACATGACTAAGCAAAAACAATACAGGTTCTAACCCACGACCTTCATGCATGGAATCCTTCGCAATCAGCCATGTACTTTTGCCGTTCACCTTCAAGGATTTTGGAAGATTGAGGAGGGTTAGGGTTAAAGTCACAGGAAAAACAAGTGTTTGGAATGTGGCTTTTGTGTGAACACCCTGTATCGGTAGATAAATGAATGTTAAAGAGTGCTGTGCCGTTGCGCGAAGGCCGAAATTTGTCCAACATTGATATCCATCTAAAATGATATCAAGGCTGTCCAACATGTGGCACGTGCACCCCTGGTAAACAGCAAAAACAGCGACTGGCACGTGATGATGAATGAACCAATGACAGCCTCTTCTCGACCATGAACATAATTATATGAAGTGTACACACCAGCTTCAGTCTATTAAAGTAACAGCCCGTAGTGGCATTTACATGTATACAGCATTCGATATACGAGAACAAAACAATTTTGGTGGTGAATTTTACTCGAAGACGCCATACTTCAGACTTGTAAAAGAAAGGACCCCAAAACCAATCTTATGTTTGCCTTTGTAATACCAAATAGCTTCTTTATTTCAAACTGCTACTAAAATAAAAACAACTATATAAGGCTAAAAAGTACATGAACACGTGCAAATTTTGTACATTTTTCTCACCATTCAAGGATCAGCTGGCATAATTTCTCGCTGTTACATAGTCCAAGACAAAAATCTAACCTCATGAATGCTAATGACTTTACTGTCCTTTCTCTAATTACAACCCCGTTTTTTTTCCAGAGAAACAACTCTGAGATTAAAGATTGATTTAATTGATTTCGTCTATTTACATTTCTTTAATGATTCGTATGAATTTCTCTGACAGCATGCTTTGAAGGAACAAATCTGTACCTGAAGACAGGATTTAGGAGTAAATCTTGTAGTTTTAATAAGACGTGGTTAGAAAGAAGTGAATGACAGGATGTCAAAGAGGAAACTAATGATTTGAATCTTCAACGGATGGAAACAGAAGGTCACTGACTTAGGGGATCCATCAACATATGTCAAGTTAAATACAACAGGTTCTTTAAAAAGTGGTTCTTTTCATTGGAAAATACATCAAAAACGGCCTAACCGCCTCTCATGTCTTTGACGGAAATTGCAAACAGCACTGATGATCTTATCTACGAGTTTGATTTGATTTTTGTTCATCTCAAGCAATGCCTGTTGTGGTTGACGAACTGTCAGAATGATGATAATTACGTTTTACAGAAAAATAAACGCCATTCCAGATTGGACAGGGAATGGAAATATTGAAACAAATGCTTTAGAGTTTTTGTCAAGACCAGAAAGATGAGTCAACCAACAAACCTAACACAGAATCGTTTCAAGACAAATCAATCACAAAGCTCCTCACTTGAACAGTCAACTCAACATGACTTTATATGTACCCTATCAATGAATTAAAAAGAAAACAAGAATGAATTCGTCCAATCACAACACAGGATTTTTTTTTAAACATAAAGAATCTGTACAAAAAAAGAATGACACCTAAAACTAGACAAAACTTGGTGGTCCAGAAGTCACAGACAGAAGACATTCCCTCATTAAAAAGACACATGCTGGGGATTAATACTTGCGATTTGAAAGAAGCCGGCAAAAATGGTAAGTGACAAGATGCCCTGGGGCCGTCTGGGCAGAAAGACAACAAAAAACAGAACGAGGGGCCATGCCGGACACAGAAATAATCCAAGGTATGGAAGCGCAAGGTTTGTGCTTTTTTTCAACAGTGAGATGTCACGCGGCGTTTAATCTACACAGGCCTCTGCGCATGATGAACACTAGAGGATCCATAGAAAGGGGGTTCGGGTGAGTTCGTTTCAGCACTGCATGGTGCAGTCCAATTTGGATTCTTTGGTGGGGTGCCTGTTGCAGTGGCATGCTAAATGTGCGCTGAACAGTTCTTTCTATGCCGGTACCAGACTGCTGAATAAAGTCTGGACTATTGACATCCAACACAGAGGTCAGCCATGTACAGGTCCCACGACCACGAGCGGCCGAGTTTGGTGTCAAACACTCACCAGTGCACCGTTGATGTTACGCCCAAGATGAGTATGAGGGTGTAGGTCGTTGGTTAAAAAATGTCCCTGACATTAGCCATATCAAATCTAGCTTATTTGCACGTTTCAAGAACAAAAGAGCCGGATTTTTAGGGGTCACCAATTGGATATGTCATCCCAATATACACTGTTCCGTTCAGAGAGGGGTATTTTGGAAGTGAAGACACAAAAAGGTCACTGCTTATGCGAAGACTACCTTCAGTAAAAAGTCCACAGCTTCGAGCACAGAGTGCTTATTTTCCACCCCATTTCCTTTCCATGTGTTCAGGCAAAAAATCACATTCCAGCCAATTAACTACGTTCCTGCCGACAAAGTTAGCATGAGCGAAAGATCATGACACAGCAGATGTAAGTAAAAAAAACATCAGTAGAAAATAAATGATGCAAAAGACTTGAAAAATGAAACACACAAAAATATGACGCATCGTGAGAAGGGGAAAAAGGCATTAGAAAATACCAACCACATCACATCGCCAATAGAAATGACATCAGCCAAACAATCTACAACTGTGAGCAGGTCATGCAGCGAAGATGCGACCCCAACAAAACACACACACACAAAAAACGTTACCAGGACAAACAGTGCAGGGTTAAGCAATGTAGGCCCAGCCACCTGCACAGAAAACAAAAGTGACTTTTGGACCATCAAGGGGCATACTTACACGCCTCCGCCGCGGCAGTTCTAGCCATCTAGCACCCAGCCACAACCGCAGACACCGTTAAGACCCCCTTAGCGTCTGCGTCCCCTGCTGCGCGAGCGGCTTCGGCTGCGACGGCGCCCGCTGTTGCGCTGCGGCGGCTGCTGCTGCTGCTGCTGTTGTTGCTGCTGCTGCTGCTCCTGGGCTCGGGCTGCCCGCTCTTTCTCCCGGTCCTCCTCCTCCATTTTGCGCCGCCGCTCTTCCCGTTCTTTGGCCCGCGCCTTCTGCTCCAGGATCCTCTGTTCGATCTGCGAGAGAGATGGAGAAGATTTGTAGACATTTCAATCACGAATCTGCAAAGGCCGACGTTTACGCTTGGATCATTTTGCCGCCGGAGCTTCGTGATGCCACACTGCTTCTGCATTTTCCATCCATGTGGAGTGAAAACCAGTCTCATCCAAGAACACGTCATTCCTATTACAGCACCATATAATTCATGTATGCATTAACAGGAAGCGGCATCTAAGCAAGGTTGCCTGTAGCAGTGGCTTTTTTCCAGTAACCAATGAAGTCAATATCAATCTGACAGTAAATATGTGTTAACAGTAAACCAGTTAACACCTATATCCATGTTTTGTAAACGGTTATTTTCTTAGATCTAAACAAGTTCACAAATTCATTTAGTCTGGGCACCGGTGCTTGCGACTGCCGCAAGGACCTTTTGCAATTGAACCTCAAACTCTCTCTCTAGTCACTGCTAAGGGGGGTACTTGAGTGCCGTCCTGCCGAGTTTTATGCCCAATCTTCAAGTCAGTGCCTAATACAGACCTGTTCCTCAGTGAGTGGCAGCCAGTAGATGCACGGTGTGGACTTGGTCTTTCTGAACAGGTCGTCAAGGAGCTTGGCGGGCGGTTCTTCTGCTTCTTCTTTGGCTGAACACACACACACACAAAATGGCCGGATAAAAGAAGGGAAATTTAGTCATTAATGACCAAACAATTGTCGATTTGTTGTTGAAAGATGGAATATGTGAGTTGGATAGCAAAGTTAGCCAGACCTTAATTTAAACTATATTTTGGTCTTCCCACATCGGCCATCTTGAAAGCTGATAGTGAGGCTAGTCCTGTCAAAACTTTCTAAAAACCTTAATGTGTACAAGCACAAGGTGATGTGACAGGGGAAACTTACAAATTATTATTCCTTGTGCTGTGATGGTTGGTTCCAAATTATGGATAAAATGTCATGGTGCCTTTATTTCCTAAATGAAAAATACTTTTGAACCCAGGTTATATCTGTAATAACAGCAAAATAGTCAGGTTCCTTCCATATCAGTGTTTAGATAAGTAAAGCAGATTCGGGGAGCACAACCCAAACTGGCTGAGGACAAAGTTGTAATCAAACCATCAAAAGACAATGACAAGTCATCAAAAGACATTATAACATAATCACAAGTCATCACAAGGAATTGCAAGGCAATCATAAGCCATCACAAGTCATCACAAGGAATCGCAAGTGAGTGTTTGAAGTAGTCTCACTTTTTTAATATTTGTATTCTTATTTCTGCTCCCTAATTTCACTGGGTTTTATCTATTCTGTTATAATATACACACTTTTTACATTTTAATTATATTAATTTGTTTTTAAGATTCTTAACACGGACCCTTGAAAAACAGCTCTGGCTAAATGGGTTTACCATGTATAAATAATTATAACAATAATAAAAGGCAATCACAAGCCATCGTAAGGAATCACAAGGCAATCACAAGCCATTACAATGGATTACTGCGCAATCACAAGCCATCGTAAGGGATCACAAGGCAATCACAAGCCATTACAAGGGATTACAAGACAATCACAAACGAATACAAGCAATCACAAGTAACAAGCCATCTCAAGTCATCCTGTCTTAATAAGTCCAGTGTAATGTTGTTCAAATGAAACACCTGCTACTTTTGACAGGTGACTGGGCCCCACAACTTCAGCTTGAATCAAAGACACGCCTGTCTCACCTTTCTGTTCTGCGCGTTGCTTCTCACGTTCCCGGCGCCGCCTCTCCCTGGACAGGCTGCGCTCCCTGTCTCTGTCCCACTCCCTCATGGGGGGTCGCCCCTGTCTGTCCCGCTCTCTCTCCCTCTCCCGGTCCCTGTCCCGGTCTCGCTCCCTGTCTGGCTCGTGGTCCCTCTCTGATACCCTGCGCTCCCGTTTGGGTCGCTTGGCCGGGGACGGTTCTCGTTTAGGCTCGGGCTTGGGGATGCTCTTGCCTGTGTGTCTGTCCATCTGCATTCAAAACGACATGGTGCAACCATAAAATCCAGCTGAAGGGAGTCAGTCTCTTTAGCAATGTTTTCTTGGTGGTTTTTAACATCTACCATTACTTGACGACCAAACCATCCCGGCCTGCATGTATACCAGCATGCAGGCTAGACAGTGGAGTCAAATTGGTGGTTTCCTCGCCTTCAAAGTCAGTGACCTTGGTTCAAATCCAAACCGGGCCACCAGGCCGACAAGTGCATTAGCTTTCAGTCCCTACCCTACTCCAAGGGGCTTTTCTCCCACCTCTAAAACTGCAAATTTCTGAACATTGTCCAGAATGCGAAATTAGACCAAAACAGTGCCAGGACAAAATGTCATAACACAATCAATTTTGTTCTGCCATGACCAGCTTTTGATCTGCCATATTATATAAAGGCCATGTCAGGGGTCAAAATTCACTTTTTTTCCTGGTCCTATCAGAACCGCACAGGCGCACACGCAGCCACACTGAGCAATCCTTGTTAGGGCGCAGGCCGCAACCATTTGTTTTGGGGTTTTTTGCCCAATCGGGCATGCCATGTCAAAAATTTGCTTGCTCGAATTGGATCAACACTTGCCAAAGATTTCTCAAAATCCATGATTATTATGGTTATCTAACTAAGGCCTACTGCATACATGCAGTCTTTTAGTAGGCCAAAGAAATAGTTGTGCTATGCATGCCTCTCAAAAATTGGGTCGGTAGGTCGGAACATTTCTTCATTTTGGGGGGCAATTTTGTGCTAACTGAATGGCATCGGTGGGGACGACAGCCTGCAAAAGTATCTCAAAAAGTGATGAACACCTGTCATCTATGTAAAAATTTCTAGATATGACAATTGACAAGAAAATTATGAACAATTCACACAACCACGACGGCAAACTGGTCAACAATATCCATATATCACGTGGTAAGCGTGCATGATGCATCCAGACCAGCGGGCACTAAACCTTGTGCAATGAGCAGAACAACCTCAAATTACACTCATGAACACAGAAAATACATACATAAATAAGAGTTCTGTGAATTAACTTGCAGAAAACCTCTTCCAACATAACATCAATGTCTTTCCGGCCTGCAGCCTTTTGCATTCGCAACGTGTACAGCCGATGAAAAGTGTTTATGTACAGTACATTCAGTACATGTACAGTACAGACTGGTGCTGGTTGCTACATTTCCATCACGCATTCTTTTGCATGGGTGCGGCGCAGCGGGAACAAGAGCAGCTTCCTTTATTGCATAGAGCTTCGTGCACATGTTTTCACCACTGACAGCGAAACATGAATATTGACGATGTGCCAAGAATTATGGGGCGATTTCACATACATACACGCGTGGCGCTGGGTGATATGGGCCAGTGATGAGTGATCAGTCCTGATGAATGCCTTGGGTGTAATTAACGTGTTTCTAACACAAAACTAATAATAAATTGGACGCCATAATCCCATATATTGTGTTGATATTTTAAGAGCTGTTATTAATACGTTGGTTCGACATTTTGTCCGAGTATCCTTGATTTTGTTCGGACAAACACAATAAGTGCTCGGAAAATGTCTGATGTCCGACCGTCATTTCACGCTCTGTTGTCTTTCTCCTTTTGATTATGACATCAAGCTACAATGACATGGGCACTTCTGAGGACTCTTCGGTTGAATCAACAGGAAAAACCAAACTTAATTGTATTTGAGTAATTGGCTGGTTTCGGGGGGGGGCCCAACACTGGGAATCAAGACGTACCTCTTCTTTGCTGGCAAAGTCTACACGGAGCATCTTGGGGTTACTACTGGGCCATCTGGTGCCATGCAAGCTGTCCCTACACGCCACTGCCTCTTCAACCGAGGTGAACTGTGAAGACCCCAAAACAGAGCCATCAAAATACACGCATTACCAGATGAAAGCTGGAACACACAGTCCTCGATGGCAGGAGCCATCCACAGTGTGTGAATGGAACAGTGACATGAATTGGGGTACCCATTTTGCCCTCCCCTGCAAGGTAGTGCAGTATTTAGTTTTGCACAAAGTTCCAAGATGTCACAGCCACGCAAGTTTGAAAAAGGTTATGGACAAGAGGCAGGTTTACTATGTTCTCCTGTTCCTGGTCTTGGTAATTAAACTAAAATATGAAAAATATTCAAATCTTCTTCTTGAGTACATATGGTTTCAGAACCATCTGTGGAAGCTTTACTATTTCCATTTCTGTAAACTCCAGAGTGTACCGTTAGAGAACTCATCCTAGTCATAATTGATCGAAACAGAACTATTCATTTTAAGTCTCACTAGAGATCTAAAGTTACACTGAGATGTGCACAAGTGACATCAGCTTGGGCCAACGTTACAGAGCTGGCAAGCTTGGAAACTGGCGAACTACATAATATTTTGCTGAGCATTAACTGGTGACCAGCTGAGGGTCATGGTATGTACATGTAGATTGCTCATGACTGGTACTCTATTTTTGCTGAGCACATAAATTTGGTAAGCATGAGTTTCCGCTTTAAGGGCGTCAGTAGTTAATTCAGTAGTTTTCATATTCTTTTATCTTGAGGGGAGGTCAGCTGGTCAGAGGAACTAGGGGTAAAAAACGTTAGCCGCTTGTCCCCCAAAAATGATAATGCTGATTATTTTTCCCATTTTTGTTTTCTTGGTAGGTAACTCCACACAGGGTCAGTGGCATAAAAAAAGGTTTTACTTTTTCTTAGTCGGAGCCAAAAATAAGGGTCAGTCACAAATGAGCTCTACGGCACTGGGTCCTGCAGGCTGACATGTCACGCACAAGCACTCACCACAGCGAAGCAGTGGGACTTGATGTTGTCGATCCAGAACCCGTCTTCCGCCTCCAACTGGCCCGACCGGCACAGCAGCTCCTTAAGCTGGCCCAGGGTGTAGGGCCGCACCAGGTTAGTGACGTGGACCACGGCGGACTCGGGCCGGCGGGAGGGGCTAGGCTTGCCTGGCTGGCCAGGGACTCGGATGGGGTCGTCAATGGAGGTTCGCACCACCTCACGCAGCTTGGTCTTCTTGGCAGTCTCTGCAGTGCAGAAAGGACCACATGAAATGAGTGATAAGGAACCTTTTTTGTGGTAGGGCCACATCCAAATCTTGCGTCAAGACCTAGGTCTAGGTCTTCCCTCAGCCATATACTCTGGAAGCCCACTTCAGACAAGGATCGTCTTGCAGGCCTATAATATGGTTCTTACTCGTTACAAGATTAAAACCTAAAAAACTATTTTAACCACTTGCTGCCGGAGTTGCTAGTACAGGACACGTATTCTTTATATGCATGACCGGGGTCTCCGAAATTGGACAGAGGGAACTGGGCCTTGTAACAAAAGACTGTACTCGGAACAAAAGACCAGGCTGCTGGGAATTAACATTTTTTCACTCTCAATAGTGGAGATAATCCAGCCTTGTTTATTAACAGTATACCATGGTTTTGGGCATTCAGCACGAGCAGATTACCACAGAGGACAAAAGCGCTCCACCATAACAGCGATAAGCCACACAGTAATCAGGCCCTTATTGAAAAGAGGTCAGCAGCGCACTGTGCCAGGTTCGCAAACAAAAGAAAATTACGTAACACCGCACAATCTAGGCTCTTTTTAGAAGGAAGCAGGCCTGGCTGAAATACTCCAGCATTCAATAGATTTTGTCTGTCAGATTAGAGTAGAAAGCCAGACAGTTCTTCGTGTAGGTGTAAGTGTCCAGTAAATGAAGACATAACTTTTTAAAGAATTTTGAAAACAGAAAAAAAATGAAAATTATCCCGTCCCAGCATCATCAACATTCATAAACGCCCCCCAGCGCAAAGTAGTCAACCAGTACATGCCAGGGCATTTTTCAATGTTGATGATGCTGGGCCGGCATGACTATCATTTTTCCGTTTTCAAAATCCTTAAAAAAATTAATCATTTCATTTAACGGTCGTTTATAGCCGCACCAAGTAATCTTTAGGCACTACTCTAAGTTGACAGGTGACTTTCATTGACGCCCGAGTATTTCAGCCAGGCCTGCAGCCTTGGAAACAGAGCCCAGATTGTGCGGTGTTGTATAACTGTCTTTTGTTCACGAACCTGGCTGGGTGCACTGCTGACCTCTTTTCAATAGGGGCCAGATTAGCGTGCAGCAGTGCTGTGTGACTCATCGCTGCGGTGGAGCGCTTTTGTCCCCGGTGGTAATCCGCTCACTCTCAATGCCCCAAACCCTGGTGTAGGGTTTCAAAACAAGGCTGGATTCTCACCACTTTTGAGAGTGAAAAATGCCGGTAATGCCCAGCAGCCTGGTCTTTTGTTCAGAGTACAGTCTTTTGTTACAAGGCCCTGTTTCCTTTGTCCGAGTTCGGAGACCCCGGCCACCCATACAAACCATACGTCTTCGATCCCGGAGTCCCCGGCAGGAAGTGGTTAACAGCCCTTCCATAGAATTTATGGACCAAAATCTCTCTGTTTAATTTATCCTCACTTTTTATACTTGTTAACTGCTATTTAATGGCAATGTCAACATTTTACCATTTTTATGCTACCGCGGTATCTCAGCTGTGATGTCTTCTTTGGCAGAGCATTCACAATCATGGTTCTTTGAGCACAAGAAGCTAGAACCACTGCCAAGTCTCCTTGTCCTTAGTTCACGCAGGATCCAAAATTTTGGGTGCATGATTTAAAAAAAGGGGGGGGTTTAAAGGAAGTGCTTTTAAAGGATGAATACCGCAGACATAATGTCTGCAGACCCTCACCTTTGGCCTTGTCATCTCTTTCCTTGGCTCTCTCCTGCTTGACCTTCTGCTTGGCTTCTTTCTCCTCTCTCCTGGTGGCCTTCTCCCGGGCTCGTCTCTCTCGCTCGTCCCCGTCTTCTTTTGTGTCCTCGGTCTTGTCCTCACCCTTTTCCCCGTCCGAGGATTTCTTCTCGTCCTCCTGTTTGCTGCCGTCGCTCTCGCTGCCACTGCTGTCCTCGTCCCCACTGGACCCGTCGCCCTGTTTGTCCCCCTCGTCCTCACTCGAGTCCTCCTGACAATTTTTTTTAACGAATGAAATTACAAAGCAATATCAAAAGCGCATGCAGTGCAGAAGTTGGTTGGGAACAATGCGATCTTATCAAAAGGCTTCTCGAAACACCAGAAATTGCCCCGGCAATGGCTTCAGGTCTACGGCATTAATTCTGCATCCCGTCAGGTTTTTCTGGGCATTCCGCTAAATGCGGAAGACTAAAACATGAAACATCCAGTACAAGGACTGTAATATCAACAGGTTGAATACCAAAGAGATTTATATGAGTGTATTAGTACCTCATATCAAGTGCTTCACATTACTATTATTATCCCGATTATCATTGAGCGAATCAAAAATTCCGAGTACCATCTCAGCTTTATACTGGGGAGTGAACAGCTTAATGCCCCCAACTTGGCGCAAGGTTCTTTAAATCAATCACAATAACCACCTCTGCCCTCAGGGCTACCCATTTATACTTCTGGGTGAAGAGGGGTAAGTAAAAGGGGGGGGTACAGTGACTTGCAAAAGGTCACAGCATATAACCATCAGCTGGATTTGAACCCAAGACCCTGCATTCAGGAATCATAAACCCTTACAATGGACTACACACCATCCACAACTGTAACAAGAAAATAAGACCCTGGGAGCATTTCATAGATTACAAGCCATGAGTTCTCTAACATTGGCCGCGATAGTATCTTGGCATCGAGATTTTTTAATTTCCGCCAAAGTATACAGAAGTAGCACACACTACATGATTAAATCCCTAAAAATTCCAGGGTTTAGGGGACAAAAATCCTGAGATATCACATTCATGAGCAAAAATCAATCACTGGAAAATCTTATCCTGAATATGTTTCAATGACAAAAGGGATGGACAGTCCTCTAAGAGCCAACCTGGCTTACACACGAGGTACCTGGTGCATTCAATCCAGGCAAACCTCAGTCTCTCGTACCCTAACCTTTTCGTCTTCCTGTCTACTCTCCTTGACTGTCGCTGCCTCCTCTTCCCCCTCCTCCGACGACGATGACCCTTCGCTGCTTGCCGACTCCTCCCGGGCCACAGCCTGAGTGATGGTGCGAGTGATGGGAGGGTCCTTGCGCTTGGGCTGCGGTTGGCCATCGTCGTCGTCGTCGTCGTCAGAACTCTCGGACGATGACTGGCGCTTGTCGTCAGTTTCCACAGCGATACTGTCAATGGAAGTCTGCTTCATCTCTGGCATCATCTCCTACAAGAGTAAATTGTGTCGGCTGTTGAAAACTTGGTTTTAGGATTCCATCCATGCACACAATCTTGGGAGTTTTTCAATTCCAATTTCTACTGTACTCAAAAAAATTCAAAGCAACGGAGTAGGTTCCAAAATCCCAAGTTCATAACGAGGAATGTACCTGTTTAGCGAACCAGATACAACTCCCTGGCCTCGGAATTTTTCCAGGCCTACTCAGAATTTGAAAATGACATCCAGCTTAATCCCCTTCCATTCCGGGCGACAAACTGCAAATGGGTGCTGCAGAGTCACATGCAAAAACGGATGGGACGAATGGCTCAGGATGGCCCACTCCCCTACCTTGAGCATATCGGTGCTGATGTTTACGTTGAGTTTCTTGGTCTGCTGGGTCAGGCTCTTGGTGCTCCCCCATCGTCGCTTCCTGGTTGGTGCAGGTGGGGTCACCGTGGGGCTGGTCCTGTCTGCCGGAACCTCTTCCTTATCCTTGGAGGCTTTTGGGGGAAAGAAAAAAAATGGCAACGTATTTCTCGGACATTCAGTTCACCACTTCAAGCCGGGTGGAGTGAGCAGCACTTGTCATTTTCTTCCGTTTTCAAAATTCGTCCAAAAATTCATATCTTCATTTACTGGATGCAGACACCCAAACGAATGGTTGTCTTGTGGCCAGTCTAATCTGACAGGCAACCTCCAATAACGTGTGAGCATCGCCAGGCCTGCAACCCAGTAAAAAGCCCCCATTGGGCAGTGTCACATAATTTCCTGTATCTTGAATTGGCCAGTGCGTTGCCATGCTGCACAGTGGTATTGTCTCTACTCAATGCAGCCAAATTACACGCAGCGCAGCGGTAATATATCACTTATCGCTGGAGTGAAGGAGCGTTTTTTGTCCCCGCTGATAATCCATGGGCACTGGAAGTGGCAAACAATGGTACTGTTTCAAAACAATGACGGATTACCTCTGCTATAAATGGCCAGCACTCTGTACTGACAGCGCATGAACTTTGATTGGCAAGTCTCAGCTCTTTTGTGTATGTATTTTCCGAGTTCGGTCACCCCGGCCACGAATAAAGGCTCTGAGTTCTGATCTCCCCGGCAGGAAGCCGTTAAGACAGCAAACTTCATTAGAAATGGCTTCAAATGGAGTCCCGTGCTCAAAGCCCAAAGCAGTGATTTAACTGAAATCACTGCCTTATGATCTTACAGTCATGTATAACAAGCTGAACATCATCCATCTTGGGTGACTGTCTACGTCTGTGTTTGTATCAATCACAATAAAGCACGGCAATTACTGGGTATCATCAGGGAACTATTCGGCATTGCTGACTGAGTCTTTTATTTTAATAATATATCGACATGGTAACTAGGACTGGGTTATAAACCAGCAGACCACACACCCCTGGTCCCCAACTTACTGCCCAGGGCAATCCTCCTCGTCTTCACAGGAACCGACGCAGGCTTGGATGGTTTGTCAATGTCTTCCGCTAGAACCTGAAACAGACCACACAAGACCAAATGCACTGTCAACTTAAAACTATTGCTGACTCCAAGGAAAAGTGGGCGCGACAACGAGTTTTTACTGCGGCAGTTCTAGAGAATACTTGCTTTGATAAGGGTAGACAGTATTTCCATCCTTGTAGTTTGGAAATTGCCCATATATGATTTTCTATAAACCATTTAAAATTGACACAAACACAGAGAAAATAGCTCACCGTATTTTGAAATGCACAAATTCAGCGACCAAATTTCTTTATGAATTCTACAGGGAAATCTTCCAAAACTTCAAGAATGAAATTGCTGTACAGTGTAAATTATGGAAAGCCTTGTTTATAAATGATTTCTGAGCAACGAGATATTTGTGTTCATAAACATATATCGGTCTGTGGCTAATGAAAATTTTATTCGAACTTTCAATTTTACAGGGCGGGCATGTTATATAAACTGGGATATTAAAGTGCACCAGAATGGGTGATTGTGGGAAATTTAATAGCCTGTAGACCATCAGACCTCCAGCCTGCCAGCACCTCCACATCCACCGAAATGTCTAGGGTAGGAATGTTGCACCAGTATGGGACCCAGGCTACAGTCTGCAGCATAGCATTGCCAAGACGTCAGATCGGATCGAATAGGACGGATCACACATGCAGTTGTGATGACAAAAAAAGAACTGTTCGGCGCATCCAGAATTAGGGCAGTAAGTTCCTGAGAATGCTGTTGGTTGGCCGTGTAGACTCATGAATATGCACTTCCTGAGAATGCTATCGGTTGGCCGTGTAGATTCATGAATATGCCCAGTGTCCATGTGGCTCTGCCAGGAGAGGCTCGACTGACGTAAATATTCAGCAGGTGGTAAAAATCTCGGTAGACTTTAAGTGCTTAAGCAATGATGGAATGCTGATTTCTGAAGACAACAGAGTTCTTGGTGTTCTGACGGTAGCCTTTGCAGGTGCATGCCCTTTATGGGTCAGATTCCTCTTGGTCCTTGTGAATTACAAGATTTTCAAAGACTCCATTTCGCTGAGTTCTTGACGGCAAACCTGTGGTCCAACTTTGACGCTGATGTTTTGGTGACGCGGAAGGTATCAAGTTCATGAATGGGCATGATTAATGACGTTTCTGCTCTGGAAATGACATTAAGTTCAATAAGTTACAGCAATAATTAACTGATGTGGCTGGTTCCTTTTACAATGTCTCTCTGCTGCTTTTCACCCAAGTCCTTGAAGTCATGAAAACATCCACACGAGATTTTAAAGTTTCCATGAAGATGTTGATACTTCCACAAAAACTGTGGAGTCCCGCTGAGGATTACGAAAGTAAGAGTTCACGAAGAAAGAGCAGTTCTCTGAGATTCCTTGATTAAAGATTAGATAAACTCATGCATGATGAAATTGGATGACAGAGATCTTATCAGTTCTAGAAGCCATGCCAAAGATGAACTCATGCAGAAAACTGTTTGACCTGGGCTTTTCAAATGACTCTGAGTTCAAAGCAATCCAGAAGAGGAAATCGACATGTGGAGTTTTAGAGTGGTCTGACGTCAACAAGGTTCTTGGAGTTGTGTCATTTCCAGAGTGTTCCCAAAAATATATTCCTCTCGGCATTCATCCCTTGTGAGGGGTAACTCTCATGGCACAATATCTTCCTGGACGACTGATGCGTCAGTCAGAGGGACTGAACAGTGTGGCATGCGCACGGGCGCATTGACAGGGTCATCGCACTCAGCTGGGTCCCCTGGTAACAGCAGCTAAAGGCCATCTGGGTTCCACTACCGCCTTGAGCTAAGTGCAATCGGGTTAGGCACATTATAACATTTGCCAAAAACTGGAGGGTCTTTCAGTCTTTTCATGTCTTGGTTTGGTTATCACAAGCACTGTGGTGCTTTTTACCATGGTGGTTAGATTTTTGGTGAAATTTCCTTTTTTCGCAAGATTGAAAATGAAAAAAAAAAGCTTCTCAAAAATGGGAGCAAGGAAGTGAATTTTGAAACATTTTAAGGACTGTCTCATAGATTAAAGAGAAGCTAGATAAATAGAAAAATTTCGACCCAAATCAAGTTTGCTCATCAAGATTATTTGGAAATGAAACGCTGAATTGGTTGATGTTGTATTTTTTGGTAAATTTGACAAGCATTCTTGGAAAATTATAAACACAAAAAGTTTACTTCAACCTTTAAAACTTGAAAAATGAGCCTTTTTTTTTGAGAATTTGGTGGAACAGTGGCTCAAAATTCAGATTCAAGGAGGAACACCAATGCCGTGATTAGGTACCTTCTGCTCTTGGGATGCCACTTCCATTTTCTCTGTTGCTGTGCTGTCTGTGTTTTCATCAATCTTTGCCTCTGCAGCTTCCTCTGTCTCCATGGCAACAGGTTGCCCCACTTGGTCGGTTTCGTCCTTGCTTCCCTGCTCCTCGCTGGGGCTACAGAGGAGGAAATGGTTTGCTTGAGGCTTGACTGACTGAAATCGTGGCTCTGGTGCAGAATTAACCTGATCTTAGATCAGGTTTTTCACAGAGACTATGTCAAACAATGGATAACTGTTGTGCTTACCTCTCTGTTGGCAATGCCAAGCTCGGTTCCATGGTGGTCGACACCTCACCAGCTGGGGCAGTCTCATCCTTGGGCTTGGTCTCCTCCTCAAGATGTTCTTGCTTCTCCTGGCTACCATCCTCTGTCTCCATTGGCTCTTCTGAATCCTGGGCCTGAAATCAAAGGGAAGTGACTCAAGACAGACATGGGTCCGATCCATTTTTTCTCAAAAGTACTCAGGAAAAGGTCACAACTTAAAATGAACTTTAACATTCTCCAATCTTGTAATTGTTGGAAGTAAAATTCTTGGTACCTTTTCATCTTTTGGTTCTTTGTCCCGGACTTGTTCCTTGACTTCTTCTGCACCTTGTGCATTCTTGTCTGCATCTGTTGAATGTGTGTCAGCAGCTTCAGACTCTGTCACAGGTTTCTGGTTGCCAGACTGCTTGGAAGCCTTGAGAGAGGTTGTTTCTTCTGGCATCTTTAGAAATGAACAACCAAGATACTTGACAGAACAGCGAGAATGCAAATGTACAAGCAAAGATGTGCATGCTTTTTGTAAGACTTTGCTGAGGTGTTGGAAATGGCAAAAGTTAGTGGTTGGTTCTACTTTGCAAGTACTATTAACCCTAACCTGCCAGAATCATCCCAAATCTATCCCCAAAATCCATCACGAGCTATTGCTAAGCGAAAATATTTCAATATTCAACAAACCTCGTCATCTTTCTTGACTGGCTTCTCCTCTTCCTGTGTCTCGGACACCCTCGACCTGGAACTCCTCCTCAGACTTGATCGGGTTCCTCTACCCTCCACCCTGTCAGCCATCTCCTCCTTCTCTGATGATCTGGAGGACCACCGTCGGCTTCTCTTGGGGGCTGTCACCGGCTCAGGAATTGGCTCTGTTTCCGCCTCCTCCCTGGATGCCCTCTCATCTCTGCTGTCCTCCGGAGACATGGCCTTCTGCTGCTCTTCCGCAGGACCCTTAAACGCTGTCGAGGAGTCCCCCTGCTGTGCTTCAGACACCATCACGGCAGACTGGTCATCTGATGGCTTACCGGCCTTCTCTGACTTCTCCGTCTCTTCTCCCTCCCTTTGCTCATCTTTCCTCTCCTGGTCCTGGACTTTCTGCTCCTGTTGGGCAGTCACTTCTGGGACTCCTTCCTTTCGTTCTCCAGCAGCCTCGCTTCTCTCAGCATCCTCCACGGTTGTACTGTCTTCACCCGCCTCTGCTGCCTCCCTGTCTGTCCCGGCTTCTGTCACCTTCTTCTGCTCCTCCGTCGGCAGCTCCTGGGTGGAATCCGCGGCCGCCATCTCGTTGGTGGACGCTGCTGGGGGTGGTTCCTGCGGCTTCCTCTTTGGGGCATCCTCCTCTTGGGACTGCGCCCGGGAAAGTGACTGGTGAAGCTCTTCCACCTGGTCGGCGAGGGCCGCTGGCACTTCGGGACAAGTTTCCTCACTGTCCCGCTCTTCTTGCTCATGCTCTGAAACAAAGATGATTCTATAATTTAAACAACCAAGCTTTAAAAATGCCATCCTTTATAAGACAACCTGTGCAACATCATCTAAGCTTAACTACATTCCTCATTGGTCTCTGTTTAAAATCAGAAACTGTCCATTTTGGTGTGAGGGACAAATCCCTGGTAGCTAAACAGTTTCTCAAAGCTTTGCTACACTGCTCTCTTTGGTTTCAAGCTTCAACTTGATTCCTCACATTGGAAACTGCACCTCACCATGACTAATTGTTTACAATATCAAACCACTGGATAGAGTGTTGTAATCTATCATAAGTCGGTCACAAGTCCTTTCACAAACTCGGTCGAGTTCTTTCACAGGTGCCTTCAATGTAGTAACAGGACGAAAAATTGGCAAAAGAACACTATCAGCATAGAGCACACCAAATCCACAAAGTTTACCCAACGAGCGCAACGAAGCAACACAACGCAATGCCCTTTTCCTTCGCATGTTTTTCTCTCTATCGCTTTCATATTTCCAAAACACAACTCTGTGACAGTTACTCGGCAGCTACCTTTTTCCGTCTGCCCCTGCCTAAGCAGTTCTTGCCGCTGTTGAAGATACTGCTGGATGAAGGAATTGGACGCGACTGATTCATCCACAATCTGCAATGGGAAGAGCAACAAAATCACAGTCCAAAAGATCGAGAAGTGGCGGAGTGGAATATCCTACCTACAGCACAAAAATCAGTGGATTTTTCTGATCGATCTAATTTACCAGCTTCAAATCTCTTTTTACTTGGTATTAGCTAATAAACCTTATTGCTGAGTTGATCAGACTAAAATTGAAACCGAAGTTAACTTTTCATTTTCAAACTGCAGGGCATCAGTGAAGGAGTAAAATGAAATTCCCCGACGAAATGTTACCTGCCTGCTCTGATGAGTGAATTGAAATACGTGATGACACGTACAAGCGGCGCATTGCACAGAAAAGGGAGGCTTAGAACCTACAAACACCCTAAAATAGTCTGCTACCATCCCATTCAATGGTTAACAATTTGGAGCACGGATACGAGGAACAAGATAAAAAATAGGCTTACTTTAGGAATAAGGTGCACTGACCCGTGCTTTACATGTCAGGTCTGTTCAGCAAAGAACCACCACACATTTTTCATCTACACTTGTTCATGATGATCCATCCATCCATCATTTCACTAACCTGCTTTTTGGCTGATCCATCCTCGGCAGACTCTTGCTGTAGTCGCTCGAGGTACATTTGCTGCAGTAAAAAAATGAGGCCCAAACACTGAATATTACTATGTATGTAGATGCCAGCAAAGTGAAGAAAAAATTGACAGACTTCACTTTAATGTTGTCATTGTATTATGACAATCTCAAGGATTGGTGGGAATTTACGTTTAATTTGAAAAATGTTTAAAAAACTTTCCCATACTGTTTAAACTTCTCACCCTTACCATGGTGTCATTGAAAACTTATAAACACAACAAATTGTATACAATGTAAATAGCTGACACAAAGTTCCATTTAAAATTTTGGGAAAATCTGTAACATTCAGAGGTATAAACGTTCCACCCTTAATCTCAAGTCCCAAAGAAAAACTTTTCAAAAGAGCCACCACCAACTGTGAAATGGTCCAGGATCCTAATTTAGTTTGCCTTTTATACTAGCACAGCAGCTGAACATATGCAGTGAGTGTTTGGACCAACATTTTATCGTAGAAAACCTTTGTCAGGTTCCATGCTTTGTACATCATCACTGTGAATTTGTATTCAAAACAAGGAATCCAACTTAACACGATTTCAAACTTTATTTCCCTTTATATAAACCTAGACAGCCACAAATTATCAAAAGGAAATGAAATATCCTGTTATGTACGTGTACTGTAGGAACCAACTTAAAAAAGATCAAAATAGAATCTTGTGACTTTCCGGGGGGGGGGGACAGGGGAAAAAACTCCAAAATGCCTGTAGTGGGTCTCTAACCCGTGGGTTTGTTTCTTGAGCTATGCACTGGAATCACTCAGGTTAGTGCTCACTCAGTCACTGAGGGTGAATTGAGTCATTTGTATTAGTTTTCAGAAAATGCTTTCTAAAAAAACAAACACGCGACAGTGGATATCTAGCCGACGGTGGCCAAAGTTAACTGCTAGTTTGCCAGATAAAGCACTGAGCATGTGCACTGTGCAGTGACTGATTTTTGGGGACTTAAAATTTTCATGACAAATCCTAGTCTGGTTCTGCACCAATATGGTCATTGGTGCTATACATGTACATGTTAATTCACAAGACAGTGATCAGACAATTTCACCATTTCAACCTTTTTCCCTTTAATTAATTAAGAAAATCCTCCAGAGCCATGAATCTGCAAAACAACAAGTAATACTTTGTCAATTAAAACTGCCCTCAATTTGAAATAAAACTAGAAGAAAATTCTTAATTCGGAGATGAAATAAGTTGTTAGCTGGGATTTGACCTCAGCTGGGAAAATCTCTCAAGCCTGTTCACAAGAAATGTGTGCAATCCACCTAGCCTCAGGTCTTGCAAACTTGGTAAGTGGTACTTTAATATCAATATCATTTATAGGCCTACTAAATCCTTGAAATACTGACAGCTGTTTTGAGTCATGGCAACTAGACTGCTGATATAGTGCAGTACAGTAAGTGTTGTTGAACTAAATCAGGAATGTGAGGTCTTTTAAACTTTATGTAATTTTAAAATTTTATGAGGACTGTGAGACAACCACTGAAGCATGATTTCTCATACCCTTAACACAGGTCCTTTTGCAGAGCTCCTTCAAATGTAGATGTAAAGGAGTCTGGGTCATGACTGCCTTTGCACAGGATTTGATAGACCAAACAGAAACAGGCATTTTCCCAGTGCTTCCATCACTTTGTAAAGGGGTCTGGATCAAACGCAAGTCAAAATTTCTTTGTTGAAAAACTCACGTATGCAGTTTATAGTCCCACTTGAACACTTTCTGTTGAGGCAGCACGTGGATGCAGACAGGCGGCGATCTTTTTTCCGCATTCACATGTGGCCTTAAAAGAAAGTGTTCATGATGTGACAGTGCGCTCACGTGCACTGGCACCCAACGGCTGTTGCTTGATGTTCCTGCCATTCGGGCATAAAAAAATGAGCAGCCCTGCGATTGGTCAATGTGACCCCCAGCGCGCCACAGCCAACTGCCATTTCAAGCATTCAATCCAGTCGCGGCTAAGAATTACGCACGCGTACGGAGAGCAACTGCAGCCAATTTCCATATCTTGTCTATCGACCGCAGCCGTAGTCAACCATTTGGTCGTGGCTCCTCTTCGGAAGTACACATGTGAACCGTATGATTCTCGACAATGACATGACTGATCGAGAAATATTTGCACCTTCTTTTGGAAAATGGCATGGTCTGACCCGTTTTTTTTCCTTGGTACTCAGTACAAAGGTATAAACTCTTGGGGCAAAGGGAGCAGCGTTGATGTGGGAACACAACCAGAATAGAAATTAGAATCCCTGTTCATGCCCTGTTAAATGTCATGTAGAGCCTACAGCGAAAAAGGCTCGTTTTAGGTAGGGTTCTTGGGAGCGGGGCGGACGTCGGAGCCCACAGTTCTTGGGGTAAGTCTCACGGTGGCAATAAATTTCTTCAACTGTGGTGAAAGGCAAGTTCCCTGTGACCAGCTACCTGCAGACTGTCTGACAGACAAGCAGTGCACATCACGGTGAAATTTCAGTATTTTCAGCTCTTAAAACCGAATGGATGTCAGTGACAGCAGAAAGAAAAATTTGCCCGTGTTTTCTTTATTCCAAGACTGGGCCCAGTATCAGCTGAAATCCTGGAGGAATATACGGCAGATGGAAAAGCAGGTCACATAGAACAATGTGCGTCATCCCCATGCTCAGGTCGCATAAAATGCTTTACACTTTGATATGATGCACGTCATTCTACATTACCTTTTCCGTCTACGTTAGGCCTACACCTTGATAAAAAAAAGTATCATTGTTACTTTTCTTTTAGGAATGACAAAAATGTAGGGCCTATTCTGTTATAGGGAAAAGAGGCAAAATGATTTTTCTTTTGAAATAATACTTTGGTAGGCCTACAAACGAAACAAATCTTTACAAATGAATGGTGCTACATCAGAATGCATCCCAGGAGAACGCCATATCCTACAAATTCTGTGCAGCACCATATACCAGTCAAAAATATGAGAAAACACATTCGTACATGTACACGTTTGGTTACCAGTGATAACACTGTGCACATAGCCACGCGCGAGCACATTTGATGAGCGGCAAGCACTGCGAGTTAAGTGGAGCGTTGAAGGCTATTTTTCGTAAAAATTATGATACACAAGTTGAATTTACCGCTGTCAATCTCTCCACTAGAGCACTCTTACTGCCACTTATTGACAGTCCACGCTTCTTGAGCTCTTGTTTGAGGTCAACAACACGTAAACTGTCGATGGACCTGCCGTTGATCATCGGCACCGCATCTTCCGAGTCAGCCATGATGGTTGTGCGATCGCACGCATGCAGTGCGCACGCGTCACGCTCATAGCGCAATTGCAATATACTAGACTTGAAATCAAGTCGTCAGGGACCGTCTTGCCTGTTCTCCCCGTCCCGGTTAAGCGCATTGCTTAATACAGGCCCTCACCAGCTGAACATTTTCGAAACCCTGTGTGTAAGTCTAGTAATAGTGTTGGGACTTGAATGAAATGGTTTTACCTGTAAATTTGCAAAACGTGTCCATCCCGCAGTTTAATTATTTTCAAGAGGCAGAGGGAAAGCTTCAATATAGTCTCTTTACGGATGGGATTCTGGGGAGAAATTTCCTCATTCGAAATGGCATACTTTCCACGGTGAAACTGATCAAAACTGAGTCAAATACCCAGAACTAATAAACTGGGGTGAGATTCATTCTAGTAGTAGAGGGGCAACCAGGGAAGCACAAATTATTTTTTTTCAGGGGCAATGGAGCGAACTTTACTTCAGCTTCTGTAATGATTGTGTACATCTATGGAGGGGGAGAACAATATAGTATGGGCGTCATCCAATGTCCAGGCGCGGGGAACCTGCAGAGGTTTCTTGATACATGTATTGACAAATCTGTTCTGCATGTATACCAGTCTCACTGTGGATCAGTATAGAGCCTACATACGTAACAGGTCTCCGCTGGGGGTTGTTAAGTTTACAGACAAATAGGCAATTTTATTTGATTTTTTTTGGGGGGGGCTTGATTTTTTGGGGGGTGGGGATTTGCCTTAACACCCATGCCTACATGGGAGATGCTGCCGTCGCCTTCTGATATCTTCATTGATATTTTTGTTGCAGCCGCAGGTGGGGCGGTGGCAACTTTTGCCCTCAGCGGGAGCAGCAGCGGCGGGAAGATGGAGCAGAGCCAGCAAGCGGGAGCTGGCTAGCTAGCTATGCACAGCGCCGCCATCATACGAGCCTTGCCTGTGGCCGGCCGGCCGGCCGGAACTTGAATCAGCCGTGTCGGCATTGCGTCATCTACGGCTATGGCTATTCCCTGTGCGTCTCCCTCTCGAAACTGAAGCTGTAGCCGCAAAGAATTTTTTCTGTGCAGCCAAAAGCTTGTTTGACCGTAAGGCGCTTAAGCTAGCAAAGATCCGCTACAGTAGCCTGCGCCCTGCTGCTGCTATGCTGGGCATCGGTTGAGAGGCTTCAAAATGATGGCATGTTTACGTTCGAAGTCCACAGACAGTCATTAGTATACTTTACAGGTAGTTGCAAAATTTTCCTCAGGACGCAACATATTTTGGTACAGGCCTAAGGCAAAACGAAACTGAAATTGTGATTAGATAGCAAGGATCTTCACATGTTTGTCACACTGTACGGTCACGATAGCCCAGGTTGGACTTGTCTTCATTTCACTACTTCCGTAACGTAGTACAGTCAGGATACTTGGGCTAGGTCACATGTATACAACTCGTCACCATTGGTCATGTCGGTGTGGAATGTAACTGCGGTACGGATATTATATGCAGGTAGGATATTTGTAATTGGCCGAGGCCTGCTAATTTTTACTTAACATTCTTATTAGTCAGGTGTTAGTGAAACACTTGAACACAGCCATATTCATGTTTGAAAAGAGTTCCATATTTCCATGATGTTTTGTGCACCAACCCTGTGAGACTAGTCTGAAAAATTTTCAGTGTTTTCTAAGTAGGCAGGGCCTAGTCCTCCCATGAACCCCCTGCCTACATGCTTCCAATATTAATAATGTTTTAAATTGGGTGTTTAATATTAAGCTGTGCTAAGGGTAGGCCTACTTCACATTTCTTTTCATGATGCCCCTGAATGCATGAACAACTGAGGGGAAAAGTCTGAAATTACTACAGCCTGTAGCAATTTCAGACTTTTTTGTAGTACACTGTACCGGCGTACATGTATGTCTGTTCACAGGGAAAAGAATAATTGCAGAATACCCCACCACTCTAAAAAACGAATGTGGAATGACTGGTCACGTGGGTACAAGGTGAAAATCCCTTGAGAAGAGTGTGACACTTTGACCTGTACCTGGCTATGAGGTTGATCTTGTGGGATGGCGGGGTATTCTGCAGTTGAGCTAAAGCGAGAATCATGGGACATTCTGGAGATGTAACTACGGCAACACTAAAAAAACCTTAAAAAGTGGTTTTTATGACAGTTCTTCTCTTGGTTTAAACAGCTCTTCATCTGTAGGACGTAGACTGTATTCTACCAATTGAAGTCAGCCTACATAGCTGAATAGGGCAGCATCATGGAAGGGAGCTTACACACAGCGATGAAGGCTGTTGGCCAGGCTATCCAGTTGGATGGTGCAGGTAGGAGCAGGGTAGGTATCGAGAGATGGTCAACAACTTATATTCACTCCCTGCGTAAATGAGAGATGGCATGTTTTCACATGGCAATGATGTGCTTTTGTTGGGAGCTCACTGGGCATGCGTACGAGGTCATTGCATTTGACGTGGGACGTAACTGTTGGAATGTATGGTCTTCATGTTGCCTGTTCCCACCAGCCTGTCTTCTTTGCCAACAAGGCACCTCTACATGGAGCACATATGGTTGTGATGGACCAGTGGGGGATATTGTTTAAAGGGACAGCTGAGATGTTACGTCAGCGTGTTTGTGAAATGAGACTAAAGAAGTTAACCATGATCGACACAGTTTAGTATGGGAATCATGTATATGGAACTTGTTACCTAGGACATGAGACAGAAGGGAGGTGGTGTTTGATACATGAACAGAAGTTTGTCAAACCAACATCATGATTTGGAAGCCTCATTTTGAAAAGGTCACATTGTGAGAGTTTTTGTTTGGTTTGGCTGAACTTCTGCTGTCTTTGTATTTAGAAACAATGGTTTGAAAACTTGGCTTTTTCTGAAACTTAAGTACCTTGGTAATTCCAGAAATTAGGGGTTCATTTTCTGTGTGTCCCTGTCACATCTGACAGATGATTTTGTAAGTTCAGAACCCATTTTCTAATTTCCAAGAGTGTTGAATTAAACATTAGCATACCTGCCACGTCAAATAACAAAGGTCAGATGTGACAGGCACACAAAAATGTCACATTTTTGGACCCGTAATTTCTGGAATTACCCGTTTATCAATTGTTACCCCTACATTACCTCCTCCCCTCTCCCTCCTTCCCCACACACCGCCCCAGGACTTCTGCCCCTATTTGGTCGCACTCTTGAAGACCAATGGTGGCATGTCTTGAGACAAGCTACATGTATTTTGCCATTTCCACACTTACACAGAAAGACTGCCAACAGGTGGGAATATCCACACCTAGGGTGGGGGGTAGCCTGTTGGGGAAGGGAGGGCCAAGGGGTGTGGCACACAACTGAAATGTGGCTTTGTATAAGTTCTAACAGCAGACCAAAAGGACTGGGGTTGATTTCATTTTCCAAGTTATCTTTGACAGTACTTACCAATTAACCCCGTCACGCCGGGATTCTTTTGACCGTGACTGCTGGGCTGGGGTATGCCCAGTATGCAAAGCCCTGTCCAGCAGCGGGGGGGCCCCATTGAACCAGCAGGTGCATGGTGAATAGAATGTGTGTGCGGTGTGCACTAATCCTCACACAAAGCTGCAACTGTGGACACCTCCCAGCATGAAGGGGTTAACACACAAATGAATACGCATGGAACTGTTATGTTGTTTGTTCATGATGCGTGATTAATTTTCCCTTTTTAGGAAGCATATTACAGATACCTGGCCTGCATTCAGTACATCTCCCAAACAGTGCTAGAAGAAGCCAAAAATCAAGGTAGAATACATATACACATAGTTCAAAGACAAAAAGGACACTTCATGTTAAACAGAATCTTAACTTCTATAAAAGTTTACAAAACTTGTCTTGATGTACACACAGATGTGTATTCATGTAGTTCAGAATTGAAGGTTGTCTTATTTTACGACATACATGTACATTTATATACATTTACAAAAACTGAAGTATTTTCAACATTTGCGTTGACAAGTTCTGATTCCCCTCAGTTTAGTTGGATGGTCACGAGGGCAGTACACTCTTTATGATAATTGTCTTTAAGTAGTATTTGATACATACATTGTACGTGTTTGTAAATCACCATCACCCCCCCCCGTGTAACTCATTTCCAAGTGACTAAGTTTAATATGAAGCACATCCAGTGTAAAACCGGCTTGTTTGAATTTTTTCTTATGCACTTCTTCAGAGTTAAAACACCATCTCTGTAGGTTCGTAAGCGTAGGAGACACCCTTACTAACACGTTCATAACTGGAGGATGCAGGCGTAAGGCTTGTGAAAAATCTACAAGCCTCCTTGGAACTCGAAAATGAAATGCGTGTGTAATGACAACCAACATGTTAGCTTGAGAAATAGGCATCTTTCAGACTCCCCGTAAGCCATTTTGGACGTGTTATTTTGTTACACGAATGCATGTGCACGCATAAAAACCTTGGCAACTTGGGGGACCTGGTTTTTACTTTGAGGCAAATGTGGATGGCTCATTGTTCAAAGCCGGGTAAACCCAGTGACATTCTGGATGTTTGGCAAAGTCAATCCACAGATGGCTCGTTCTTCATTCTTTTTGTTAGGTTACCAGGGACCAATCAAGACTAAAAGTACTGCCAGAATGTTGAAGCTGGCCCAGCAATGCATGGACCGCGTGACTGCCATCATGGAAAATGCAGGTAAAACTGAACCCAACTTAACCATCCCTGAGTGGTCAAACACATGTCCACTGTAGGCCTACTCAAGACCTCATCTTTGTGAATTTCCGAGACCCTTGAAGACCCTTGAGACCCTTGACCTGTGAATTCCCGAGACCCTTTCCTTGAGACCCTTGAGAAGACAAAACCCAAACCTGGCGGATGGAAAGTGAAAGGTCAGAGAGGGATAAAGGGTTTGATTCCGTTTGCATCTAAGATGGAACCTTCTGACAAGAAGACCATGGTCCTGTAATATCTACCTTACAACAATACTTCTCGTCTGTCTTCAGTAACCAAGTTACATGTGTAGACTGTAATTCAGGCCCTATCCAGTTCTCTTGAGTTAACAGGTCATCCATTGTTGTCGTTTTCCCAAGGGTACAAACTGTGTGCTGGGGGACGTGGTTATGAGGATCATGAGAGATATCAAGAGTGCTCGTTAAAAGAGCAGTCATAACGCTTACGAACATTATGACAGAAATGGAAGACCCGTATTAACTCAAGTGAACTTAGAGATTTTTGTCCAAACATCTCACAAGAAACCAACTGTAGTTTGACTTTTCTGTTTCTTTTTTAGAGGAAGGCAGTTCAGCTCATCTTGCCCCTCCTCCACACCCTGATGAGCAGTCGGGCCGGTTCAGCCCCTCCATCTGCACCTTTAACTCCTCCCCCGTGCCAGTGGAGCAGCCCTCCGGGGCCTCCAGGCCACCCCCAATGATGAGCACGTCACCCAAACCTGCCAAGTTTCCGTCGGCCAGCGGCATCCCGGTCACTGCTCCGATGGCCTCCCTACCAGTTCCCGTAGGTTATCAGAGACTGCATGTCACCAGGTACGTCTTGCATTTGACTTTGTGGCATTATGCAATAAATGGGGGCATTTGATAAGCTTTTTCGGGCAACTCTGACATGGGGATGTCATGTGTGCTGTGTCAAACAAGCGAGATGGTGGAGATGAGGTTTAAAAACCCATGTCAAATCGTGGAAGCCAGGCAAACCCACCCCGTGAAAATTGTGAGCTGCAAAGACTTCAAATAATGTTTCTCATCGCTAATTCACCACTGAAGTTCCGAACAATCTGAATAAGTAAACATTGAGGAGTTAATGTCTGACAACGTACATTTAAAAATTTCAGGTCTTGAAGTGGGGATGTGGGAAATGTATACTCTCATGCATCAAACACCTTTGTCTGGTAGCCACAAGAAAATTGGCTCCCGAGTACCCTTCTAGAACTGCCTGATTCACTTGACCATCGACTTGTTCAGGCTAAACCTCATGCAGATGGTCCAAATCTGATAAAAACAACGGTGACCACATACATCACTGTTTCTAGAATTGTTTTTGTCAAACAATCTGAATGCACCAAGGATACAAATAAATAACGAGATTGGTGGAGGGAGGTTTCATTTTTCATGTTTTTTTGGGGGGCAAAAAAATGAACAATCTGTAAAGTACATGTATGTGCTTGACTCTTGAACAGGAAGGACAAGCTGACACCACTGGAGGCGGCATATGTGGAAAACCGGCGCCTCATGAACTCCTACAGAGCTAGGCTGGTTCAGCTGATGGAGACCAACAGGGGCAAAGGTCAACTCAACAAGACAACTCTGGTAAGCCGTAATCGAACTCAGTGTTGAATTTGTTGGTATATGCAAATTTGCTGAACATTTTCAAAAACAGTTAAGCAGTGAGAGTGCAGCAAAAGCTTTGGACTTGAAAAGATCCAGTGACTATTATGTCACAATTTGTGCTCTGTCCAGGAGTACATATAAGTATAAAAATAAAAAGAGGATTTTATGGGTTCAAACGTTCATGTCACAGTAGTTTACCAGCCAATGTGTCTCTCTTTTTTTCTGAAATGTCCAAAGCACCGTTAGTGTTCTCTGCTTAGCTTGATGAGCTTTGGTCCTGGTAGAAAGAACCACTGTCCTATAGGCCATTCATTTATTTAGCCTTATCGTAATTTGTTATAATAGTTAGTAAAATCACCAGTTTTTAGCATCATCTTTGGAAAAGCTACGTTGCACATTTTCCTTGATGCATACTGTCGCGCTTCCACCAGTTCAATGCCCGATTTTCATTGAACTGGTGCAATATGGGCCGGGTACTTCCTATCAGAGTTGGGATGAGTGAACAAATATTCATGTCATGCAGAAAAGAGCAGCTGATAGTGGGAATTGTGAGCATGAAAAGGTAACCCTCCCCCTCGCCAAATCCTTGACAATTCACCCAGGGGTTTGTTGGGAGATTTCGCTGGATTGTGGGAAAGTGTATTGTCCAGTCACTTCGACTTCATGCAATGCCCTTTCTGTTTTTAAAGTACAGTGGTTCCTGCACAGTTGAAGATCTTAGTTCTAGTATCCATTAGGATTGCTACCCAACTGTAGAGAGTAACGATCAGTGAACTGCATAGACGTCACCACCTGTGTCATTTATCACACATGCCATATTGGTTTGATAGTCATACCAAAGTCCATATTATCTGATGTCACATGACTGGTCTTAAATAGATGTTTAGAACCAGTTTTAAATACATTACAGGTACACATATACATGTGTACACATGTAGTTAACCCCTTCACGCCGGGATTCTTTTGACCTGACTGCTGGGCTGCGGTATGCCCAGTATGCAAAGCCATGTCCAGCAGCAGGCCCCATTGAACCAGCAGCTGCCTGATGAATAGAGTGTAGGTGTGCTATGCACTAATCCTCACACAAAGCTGTGGCTGTCGACATCTCGCAAAGGGGTTGATTCTGTAAATGTCATTCCTTTACATGTATGTGCCATGATGTTAGCGTTGCCATATTTATCTACTGGCTTTGCCTGCTAACAGTACCAGGTGCCGGATGATCCTGTTTTAAAGATATGCCAGCTACATATGGTTTAAAACCTCTTTGTTACACTTTTATTCCTGTATTTTTTACACTGTTTGCTTTGTAACCACTTGGTAAACCAGGGGAATAAGTGGTTGGTTGGTCTGGCACTGCCAGGCAACTACATGTAATATGTACAGTGTAGTGGTCAGATGCAGATAATACATGTACATATACACATATGTGGCACCGTTTCAGGATCTGTAGCACTGATGAGATGTCATCTGTTTGTCTTTGCCTCTGTGAGCTTTCTTTCACCGCTGTGTTTTTGCAACTTTCAATTTGTTATAACCTGCACTCACGTGGTGGCCACTTAGCAAGGACAATGTAGAAATATCATCCTACATGTACCCCAGTACATGTACATGTAGGCAATAATGTGAGTTGCAGGTCACCACAGTTTAATACTGACCTGTAAATAAATTATGCGTGATGGAAATCGAAAGGTAGTCATATTTTTCATGTATTAAAACAAAGAGCTCAGTGTGTTTGCTCTAACACACACTGAAAGCAATTTAAAAGTATTAAAAAAGTGCCCTCAAGACTAATTTAAGGAAATATGGCCCCAGTGGACTTCAGTTATACTGTAGTCGTCCTGGATCCTCTGCATACATGCAGTTACACCCTCAGCATCAAAGCAGCCTAACTCTGTCCCACGCCATATTGTCAGGAAATCCCTCAGCAGCCACCCTCATGCCGAAATTAAGAAAGTAAGCAACATCAGGGGCTGCCAGGGCTTGACAACAATACCTCAGCTCCAACAATGGCCCATATCAGTTATGCTTGAGACTCTGACAGCTTGATTTGGTCAATATGAAGTGCACGGTGTACATGCAAAATTACTTTGCCGAGAAACAGGAAGCAATGTCAGCAGCAATAACAGAGGCTGTATATAGCTTAAAACATGTACGTGATGTCCTGACTGATGGTCACGATTATCATTTCCTGGTGATGCCCTACAACAAGAAATTTGTATTCTTATGCTGTACCAACTCTTTGGACTTATCAGTATTTGATATACTGGTATTTGATATACCAGTGTTCGATATACCAGTATTCAATACACCAGTGTTCGATATACCGGTGTTCGATATACCAGTATTCAATATACCAGTGTTCCATATACCAGTATTCGATATATCAGTATTCGATATACCAGTGTTCGATATACCAGTATTCAATATACAAGTGTTCCATATACCAGTATTCCATATACCAGTGTTCGATATACCAGTGTTCGATATACCAGTATTCAATATACAAGTGTTCCATATACCAGTATTCCATATACCAGTGTTCGATATACCAGTGTTCGATATACCAGTATTCAATATACCAGTGTTCAATATACCAGTATTCGATATACCAGTATTCAATATACCAGTGTTCAATATACCAGTGTTCGATATACCAGTATTCAATATACCAGTGTTCCATATACCAGTATTCGATATACCAGTATTCGATATACCAGTGTTCAAAAACCAGTATTCAATATACCAGTGTTCGATATACCAGTATTCAATATACCAGAATTCAATATACCAGTGTTCGATATACCAGTGTTCGATATACCAGTATTCGATATAGCAGTATTTGATATACCAGTATTTGATATACCAATATTTGCAGTGCTTTGGTCTTCAACTCAACTGCAATTACCGTGTACTTACCAAAACATAGGTGTGAAATTAAACATGGCATAAATGTGAACTATGACTTCTGACCAGTACCCTCAAACAAAAATGATGACAGATGGGAAGATCCGCCAACATAGAGCTGACAAAATGTAGTTCAGTGGTAAGAGTGCCGATACAGTGTTCCAGAGGTCCCAGGTTCAGATCCCATCCCAGTCAATTTCTTTGTTCATGTCTATTATAAGCATCAGTTTCCCTATATGGTTTGCTTGATGATGAATGACACGAAGCATCTCATCCTGGACAAAAAACTAACATAAACTGTTTTAAGTGCTCTCTGCCGGTATTGTATCAACATTCGCAAAGCACTTTACAAATTTCAACATTGTCAAAGCACTTGACAAAACTTTCTACGCCATTCACGCCATGAGATCAATCTCGGCAGTTGACGTGGCCAATATCAGAGGCAGGCAAGAAGAGACCTGTACAGGTACATGTAACGTGCCTTGCCTGAGGCCATGACATGTGACCAGCTGCCATGATCTGAACAACCTGACCCTATGACCAGGAGTAACAGGCCCGCATGTCTGTGAATCAGGTCACATACATGTACCTGTAGTCCATCAGTGATAATCCGAGGACACTGCTTTCCCACGTCAAGGTCTCCTGGCAGGTTCATGCTTCCTGCAGTGGCAGAGAAGCACTTAAGACAGGTGTTTTGAAGGTAAAAACAAACGAGCCATATGCGCCATTAAAGGCATTAATACAAGCAGTGAATTGCATCTTACAAATTTACAGGTATATAGATGTACAATATGCATGTATCATACATGTACATGTACTCTACCCATTAGGGTGAATCTAGCTCACAATTTAGGATCATCCATGACCTTTTATGGCTTGTGACAGCCTTAGTCCAGAGGCCAGTTGATGAATGTTTGGGTGATCTTCATAGGTGCATGTCTACTGTAGATACTTGTTTGGTGAGGGATGTGCATATTGAGCTCTGAGCTGTAATGAGCAGTGTTAGCTGATAAGTATGATGGGTCGGAAAAAGGAGTCATAGTTTTGACGGGCGAGGAAGGGCTGACACTAATGAAGACTTCATTACCATGCTGCGTCGTCCATGCTAGTATTTGCATTGTGTGATGCCCAGTCGTCCCAAATTGACAGTTGGGTATGCCGAAATCAGCCCTAGCTTTATGGAGAAAGACTGTCACTGCAGGGTGTAGCGTTTGGAAAAGGTAAATTGCCTTTTTATTACCGTACTGTAATTGGTCACTGTGTAAACCAAAGTGATGATAACAGGCTAGAAAATTGGTAGTTTAGTTGATCAACATTTAAGTGTTGCACTAGCTTCAGTGGCGTACATAGCTTTCAAGAAGCAGTTGCTGGATTTCTCATGACTTTGTGCCATTGTGTGATCTTTTTCTCAAAGATCTGCATGTGATCTGATTGCTTGCAGAGCACGCTTTCCATGTAGATGTACTTTGGCGGCAACTTCTGTGATAGCTTAGTTTGTGACCCTGCGGGTACTGTACATGCTGTGAAGCATTTTAAAAAGTGCACTGGCAAATCGGACTGAAATACCTTTGTTGGTTGCAGACGGTGTCCCCCACACAACCTACCTAGACATACGCCCCAACATGTACATGTACGTGTATACCTTTGATTTAAGTGACAGACCCACCTTTAAAGTCATCTTATTGGCTTTGGACTTTGTGGCCATTTTCATGAACGGTTTAGTCTGTCTGGTTTTCCTGAGCCAATCCCAAGGCCTGAGGAAGCCCCAGGCTCTTTACCAAATCAACCAGTGCGTCATTGACTTCTTACTGCCGATGAGCATGGCACTGTATGCTCTTATCCCCAGCCCCAGAAATCTGGACTCGTCTAGCCTGCCATCACGCCTGATCTGTTGCCTGTGGCTGTCTCTGTGGGTCTTTCCATTCCTGCAGTTGGCCTACATGCTCAATTTCACGCTGATGGCGGTCGAGCGCTATTTCGCTATTTGTCGCCCGATCTATTACCAACAGAAAAAGCTGAGCAGCCGACGAAAGGCCAGGACGGCTGCTCTGTGCACCTGGCTGGGCAGCCTTCTC